GCCTCATTTCTCGTGTTGTCCCGAACTGCAGAAAGTTCAGCGCCGCTTGCTTGCCTGCTTAAAGATGATGCAGTTTCTGGGGTCATTGGGCAATGTGTTAAGTCGCGTCTTCCCTGATTTCACGAGACTGCACCAGGGCACGAAACCACCGGGCCCTGAACGAGCGACCCAATTCGCCACCTAGCTACCCCAGGCAGGGCACCGATGGTTCCGCGGAAGATGCTCCACCTGCCAGGTCGAGTCACACACATTCGGGACACATCTCGAATATCCAAAACCGCGGCTCAGCACCATTCTCAACATTCCGTCACGGGGGAATCGTCTGTCGTGGCAGAGGCAGCGGTGCTGCTGGTGCTGGTGATGCTAGTGAATGGACTATAGGTCAAGCCCGATGGCAGGCGCCATTGGCTATTGCTGCTTCGATAATTGCAGAGGACTTTGAGAAATGGCGATATCTTCGCGAACTAGAACCCGGGCACTGACTATTTCCCAGATCCACAGGCAACTGACTTGCTCAGTTCTGCTGGCTGCTATTGCGTTGAATACCCACCTGGAGAGCACTTGGAAACAGTAGGCTGTTGCTCCTGAATTGAAACTCAGGACAATGCATGGCGCCGCAGGCCTGTCGCGCAGCGTTGCAGCTGGCAGGCGGCCGGATGATGTGCGCACGGACTCAGGCGTCAAAGCGGCTTGTTAAAGAGACCGGGACCTATCGAGGTGTGTTCAGGTGCATTTTGCTAAGACCGCAGAGCCATGCTTTCTAATTTGATAAAGGCCTGCGAGATCATCCGCTCGATGGTCACAGCAGCAGTGATGGCGCCGGCTGTCCCGAGCCGAGGGATGACCTGACAGCACCCGGGCCACGAGGCTCAGGTCTCCTTCCACTGACGATTCTCGGCCCTCCGCCTCCGAGATGTAAAAGCCGGCTTTGCTTTCGGGTCTCCACCCCGCAGGCATCTCTCGCCCGCGGGGCGACGGCAGCGCAGAGACGGGCAACGCATGCGATTCAGCGGCATGCCTTTCCCATTTGGCCACGCAGTTCCATTGAGGAGTGCGCGTAGCAGTGGAGAGATGCTTGGTAGGTATGAGTCTGCATGCTGCTGCAGGCGTGCGGCGCGAAACCTTGCTTCGTCTCCTTCGTATTCCTGTGGTCGTTGACTGATGCAACTTATGCATAACTGCAGGTGGCACTTGAAGTTTATGCCGCTGCAACAGCTGCGCCAGACGGATACGGCCCGATAGAGCAATGACAGGGAAACACGTTGCCCTGCCTCGCGGCCTGAGATGTTGACCACAGGCCTCAGCCACAGCCGCACTGCGTGGCTCACATCGTGAGGGGAACGGCAGTGACAGCGTGAGTGAGTGAGTGAGTGAGTGAGTGAGTGAGTCACGGGGGCCTACTGGAGACAAGTACTGTGAAACTCTCGAGCTGTTTTCCCAAAGCCGCAGGTCAGAAGCCACGTCCCCACGGCGACATCTTGTACGCGAAAACAACGGTCGTGAGAACCATCAATACGCCTACCAGCTTGAGGAGGACGTTCCACTCTGGCATCGTCAGGAAGTTCTTGCCGGACTCTGGTTCGACAGCTCGCCCGTCGAAGAAAGCCGCGTTCAGGAAGGGTTCGGACTTCTTCGCCTTCTTGGGCGCCTCCTTGGGCGCCGGCGTCGTGTCGCGGACCTGCTTCAGCCTCTTCTTGAAGGCGGCCTCATAGTCATCGGCTTCGGCTCCTCCGGCTCCCGGAGCGGCGAAGCCGCGGCGACCTCCTAGCGCCAGCACCAGCGCAAGAACCGCCAGAAGGAGCACCGGAGAAATCGCCCGTCCCGAAGATCTCGCACCCCGGACACAGGAAGTCATGGCTCTCGGAGGACGAGGGCCCTCCAGAACGTGGATCGCGGCAGCTGAGCTACGAGTAGTGACTAGAGTCTAGGGCCTAGGGATTCTAAGAGACCCTTCCGCATTCCTCAGGTGAGTCATTGGCCGCTGCGTTCTGGTCCTACGTTCCAGGTCCTCCAGTTGACGAAAGAACGGAGTTTGCATTTGCCCTGGCGTGTTTTGCACCCTACTGGCAAAGTTGCCGGCTACCAGCTGGAGCCAGGAAAAGGATGAAGTTCCGTGCATACGCCACAAGTCCTTCTTGGACTGTGCTGTGTGCTAGTGCATCGGAGTGACTCGTAGTCTGTGCAGCGGCCGTTCCTGGAACAGACAGCACATGCACAAAGCAGCAACTGCCCCATTACTGTGCAACCTTTGCTGCTGGTTCTTCAGGCTCCTGTAGGTAACGTGAGCTCCATGAGCGGGTGCACCTCGAATGCGCGGAAATTGCCAGTCTTCCGCTGGCTTTTCGAAACTCAGATTCAAGACTAAGATTGCATCTTGAGCATCAGGGGCCTGGATGTCGTCCGCGGCCAAACTCGATGCGTGCATGGTCCAACACCTTGCTTGAAGCTGCAGACACACACACACAAGTGTGTACACACGAAGCGAAACTCAAAACCCCCTGCATCGTTTGTAACAAATAGCAACCTGCATTGCAACGACAAGACGGCAGGCCTGCCTTCCAAAACATGTAAAGCATAATTGTCTGCTAACCCCGAAATGCGCTTGGGCCGTTGCAAAGTCGAAGTCTGGGTCTGCATCCTCCACCCTGCATCAATGGACTTCCAACAGCTTCCCAGCAAAGCCGGAGAATGGGGGACCGATGCGGGAAGGAGAGTACGATTTAAAGGATCTTCATGGGGAATGTGCAGCAAGACTCGAGATCGTCCATGCCATGGGAGCGTGTTCCCCCATGAAAAATGCCGGCAGCGCTTTTGCTTCTTGTTGGTCTTCGGTCGCAGGTGCCTGGCGGACCGGAGACCGACGCAGAAACCATGAGAACCGTTAAACACTGACAGCACCACTTCTCTCGTCAGAAACCTACCTACAACCTCGACATAGCTCTGCTCGGAAAAGTTGTTTTCGGCACAGGTCGCCAAAGGTCAGGCTCGCAGATCGGAGGTAGTCCTCCTGCAGGGTCTGCAAGAGCCGCGCGGCGTGGCTCCATTGGGAGCCTTTCCTGGGCTCACGAAGCTTCTCTAAGATTCGTGCCCAGTCCGCTGAAATCTCTCTATTTCCTTCTTAATGCCAGAAGAAGAAGGGTGTTCAAGAACCACCTAGTCTCTGACAAGCGCGGAGCGACATGTCGAACGCGACATCGTTGACTGGCTGCTTCTGCGCACAGCTGGATTCAAGCAAATGCAGGGCCTCTTTCCAACAGGAGCCCCGCTCACAAGCACTGATGGCCGCAGCATGGGCTATTACATCCAGTTTGACATCATGTTCCAGCACAGATGTCAGCAATCCGAGAGCATTCTGCCAACGACCGCCTTTCTCGTAGGCACTGATTGCTGCACTGATGGTTACTACATCTCCTTGAACTGAGATGTCATGCATTTGCTGTAGCAGCGTTGCTGCGTGGAGCCACTGGCTTCCCTTCTCACATGCACTGATGGCAGCATTGAATGCAATTACGTCTGGCTGCCCTCCTCTGATGAGAAAATCCGAGAGAATGCCGAGAGCTGTGCTCCATTGCCCGGCTTTCTCACATGCACTGATGACAGCCCCATAGACGATGACATCCTGCGAGAGCCTTCTGTGGTCCATGTCGCACAACAAAGATAAGGCATGCTGCCACCTCCCACGGTTCTCGCAGGCACTGATTGCTGCACCAAAGACAACCGCATTTGCAAGCAGATCCTGTGCTTGGAACGTGCTCATCAGAGATAAGGCCAGTTCCCACTGCGCGGCCCTGGCGCATGAACAAACAGCAGAACTACAGGACACGGGTGTGCTTTCAAGGCTCCTCTTTTCAAGGCCATCCAACAATGCCAATGCTAATTGCCACTGCCCACCTCGTCCAGACGCAGTGATAGAAGCATTGTAAGTGACCACCCCGGGCCGAATCTTCTCTTCAATGTCTGAGAGCACTGAGAAGGCGTGATGCCACTGGTTGCCCTTTTCTAGGGAGCTGATGGTTGCATTGTATGTGATTACATCCCTCCGCACCGAAGCATCTTGCATGTCTGAGAGGCAGAGCGCAGCAGGTTGCCACTGTCCGCCCTTTTCACATGCAGAAATGGCAGCATTATAAACGATCAGATCTGGTTCCAGCTCCTGTTCCTCTAACCTGTCTAGAAGGCTCAAGGCCTCTTGCCACCTGCTGACCCTCTCGCATGTGCTGATTGCAGCGGTGTATATGATGACGTCCGGTTGCGCCTGCGAGACCTCCACCTGCGACAGCAAGCTCAGTGCAAGCTGCCAGCTGCTTTCCCTTCGGCACGCACTGATGGCTGCAGTGCACTTCCGAGTTACCTCAGCCTTGCTCGCACACGAATACGAGGGCCGTGTGCTCACAGACGTCATGCAATGCAAACATAGCAATTATCTGGCGAATCTCGAGCAGTCAACTGCTGCCTGGAGCAACGCAGCTGAACAAGACAAAAGCACAATTGTGTACCGCAGAAGTGTGAGTGCATGAGAACGCACTTTTCCGCACATGTTCATCTGTCTATGCTGGATCCACACCTCGCCATTGCGGCGTCTTTTGGGTACACCATCGTCACCGCCAAGGCCGACCCTGGCAGCGGTTGTCGATCAAGATCGCCATGCTGGCCCCTTGGAAGGACGCTCCATTTCGCAATTGCCTCTGACACCCGAAGCCTGAAGTAGCGAGAGCTACATCCTGTCCTGTCAAGTATCGGCACTATTGTCTATGCTGCCCTATGCCAAAGCAATCCATGCTTGTCCTGAAACATGCCCTAGCCCTACATCTGCCGGAGGCGACTGAGGCTCAGGAGACTCCAAGTACCGATGGTGCTGCCGGCAGTAGTACATGCCAAAAAGGCCATTATGAACCGCACTCGCAGGGCGGACAGCAGGCTACGCGGTTTTCCTGCCGATTGCCATAATCGGGTCAAGGCCTAAAAGTCGGCACGTACAAGACAGGCAGCTCACACATCGATCAAGACCCTTCGCTCACAGCATCTGGTTTCACATCGGTCCTATTTTCTTTGTGGGTCTTGAAGATCGAGATGAGGACTGCCCCCGTTCGGTCTAAGGGCTTCAGCATACGGCCGTACACCTCATCTCGTTCCAGCAAACGCCACGCACCCCTACCATGCTCATCATGGAATAAAGCATAAGTGGTACGGTACGGGTAATCTTTAGGGCTGAAACGAGGTTCGGGTCGCCGATAGCTTTTAGCACCGTGGGCTACTTGGATAGCCGTCGTGTTTTTACGGTGCCATCCTTTCTCAGTGGAAAGCCCCTGAAGAAACCCGAGCACGGGATCACTCGGTCCCACGGCCGTGCCGCTCAGCACTTGAGGTCCTCGCTGGACAGGTGCTCTGGCACGCACAGTCTGCTTCACGAGGTCGGCGTCGTACTTGTAGCTCCACTCCCCGGACCCAAGGATCTTTCGCATATGAGAGCCGTCCATCTCCTTGGTCCCGCAGTCGACGAACATGTTCTCCGTCGCCGTCCATTTCAGGGCGGTGTTTCCCCTGCTGAGGAGCCCTCTGAGCCATGCCACCGTAAAGGCTAGGGACTTCTGGCTGCCATACGACGGGGTGTCGCTGTTGCCCTTGTCGTACACGTCCTTGGCATCGGTGCAGATCACCATCCCGATGCCATCCAGGATGCAGTCCACGCCCTTGTGGCCGAGGTCATAGCCCAGGACTTCCGCCAGGTGCCCCCGGCAATATTGCAAGGCGTCGGCACCCTCTTCAACTCCCAGCAACTCTGCCGCGAAGGTGCTGCGGCAAACTCGTTGCAGTCTGTGCGACCGGTGGTCCAGCACCGTGAACCGGCCCTTGCCTCCCCGCATCAAGGAGGCCTCTGCGAGCAACACACAGTAGCAGCTCTGGCTGTAGACGCGCTCCAGAGGTTTAGAGCCAATCTCGCCAGTCTTTGTCACGTTGCCCAGGGAGGCGTCCGTCACCACAAGGATCCCGGCGTTGCTGAGGTCCAGCGGCCGGAAGCGCAGCTCGAAGTCACCGGTCTCCTGGAAGAGCTTGATCAACTGGTTCACCTTTAAAAGGGTGCCCACGGTCGGCGTCTCTGCCTGCAACACGGACAGGAGGAAGCCAGCGTCGAAGCGAACCTGGGCCACAAGCCACTGAAGGGAGCCCACAAGGGCTCGAAGCTGTTTGTGCTCTCCCGGAGTCAACGAGGCATCCACCTCCCGTCGCCTCGTGCTCGGAACTCTGATCACCTTCAGGTTCTGGTGGTACTCTCTCATGGACACAGTCACCTCGCCGCTCACCAAGTCCTGGGTCACCCGCTTGCCGCAGTAGACGAACGTGTTCTCTTCGAGCGACCCGAAGCCCAGCTCCTCGCCCAATCGGCGAATAGAGTCCCAGGCCTCCTTGCCACCACAGAAAAGGAGGTCGTCCACGTGGCTGCAAAGCACGCCTAGCCAGCGAGGGTTCGGACCTTTGGACCACAGGAAGAAGGTCGCGGCATCCATGGTCGAAGTTCGCCAGCCTTAGCCTTCTCGCAAAACGCTTTTGCGCAACCTCAAGAACCACTCCCGGGGCGTCGGAAAGGCCAAAAACGCCCTTAAGCACTCGGCTCAGGCGCCGGCCCAAAGGCAAGGAAGGGCTGCCATTGCGAACCTCCACATTCTTGACGTAGAGCTCCCTTGTCCCTTCCATGTATCTCTCGCCCTTCATGAAGGCGCTTTTCACATCAGCAGTGCCCATGCGCCAGCCGTCGCCAAAGTGGCTGGCCGCCAAAGTAAAAAGCAAGTGCTGGCTGGTGCGGCTAGCCGTTGGAGCGTCCTTCCGGAGGTCATACGCAGTGATATCCTTGTATCCGGGCACCACAAGTCTCGCTCAGGCACGAAGAGGAAGATCATTTTGTACAGTCCGCTGCCCCTCGTTCTTGTCAGTGAACACAAACCTCGGCGTCATCACTTTGTGTAGTTCGCCACGTTGTCGGAGGGTGGCCCACACCTTCTCGGATTCATCTTCACTCAACACTTCCACGGCCTCGTTGCGGACCCAGACATTCCAGGCCTCCTCGGCTGCCTCGCGAAAGGCGGCCTTCTGAGGGTCGTTCATGGAGCTCCAATGGTACTCCTTGCGGGCGGCCTGAACAGCAAAGGCGTCCTTGGTGGTAGGCCATTTTAGCCCCGCTCGTACAAAGGCCTCGTACTCGGACCTGGAAGGCAAAGGCCATCGCCCATCCCAGGTTCCATGGTCGCCCGCTTCGCCAACATCGCCCGACAGCCGGTCCATGGCCGCTTGGGCTTGCAACTTCACCAAAGGATGTACTTCGCCTTCACGGGCTTGCGCGGCCGCAAGGATCTCGCTCTTCTCCATCACCATGGCGTCAAACGGAACTTGGTCACTGCTGACAGGAGAGTGCTCTTCACCAGCACGCGGCCCAAGGATACTCTCCGGCACAGGGGATCCCGGAGCCAGCAAAGTGGAAGGACGCCTGGAATCCCCAGCTGCACTCCCCGTCGCCGCCTTCACGAACTCACCTGGTGGAAGATCACCGCCTTGTTGGGCACGGACTCGAGAGACTACCTGACGGAGACGATCACCGAACTGCTGACCATCGCTAGCTAAGGGCCCCCCAGGTTCTGGAACGGTAGGTTGTTCGAGTCCAGCGCCATGTAAAACACTAGGTGCCGAATCACCCTCTGCCCGATCATCGCCGCCAAGGTCCCCACCAGGAGGTTCTGGAAAGGTATAGGTTGTTCACCGAGTCCAGTGCCATGGTCCTCCGCCGCCGCAGGTTCCGAGCCGTCTGAAGCAGGACGGTCGGTCGGAGGTATCATCTCCCACTCCTGGTCCCGGTTGGCAGCCGCCACCACTTCATCAAGAGCAGCCGCCCAATCACCCGAAGCTAGCCTCTCCATGGTCGATGCCGGGCGCACGTGTTCTAGCGCCACTTTCGTCAGGGTGCCGCGGGCCGTGACATAACAGCTGGCACCTTCCAGCGCGACCAAGAGCCCCGGACCATGCCACTTTTTCAGCAAGAGCTTCCGGCGGTTGGCTGAGGACTTCCGATTGTATTTTTGTTCACGATAGTAGTAAACAAGGTCCCCCACCGCCGGCCTGGTAGTCAAGGTCGGGTTCCTCGAGCGAGCCATCTCGGCTCTCCGAAGGGATCGGCTAAGGTGAAGACGAAGCATTGCCATTCTCGCCGTCTCCCGCGTCGCCAGGAGGCGTGCAAAAGTTGCCTCCCCGGTCGCCGACAGTTCTCCAAGTCGCCCTCCACCGAGTGCATCTCCCGGGGGTAGCGGTTGTCGTCCCACCGCCGCCTGCATCGGTGAAAAGCCGCTGTCGCCCACGTCCATGTTGTAGGCCAGGAGCCCCTCAGCGAGGCCCATCTTCATCTCATCAGCTCCCATCAGCGATTGTGCCGCAACGAGCACCTTCAGGATCCCTCCGGTTCGCTCCGTCAAGCCATTCTGCCACGGAGCACCCACAGCAATGTGGTGGAGGTACATGTTGTTCTCGCCGGCAAAGTTCTCCAGCTCGTGGCTCACGAACTCCCGGCCCTGGTCTGCCACCAGGGTGCGCGGCATTAAGATTGGGGCCCAACGCTCCCGAAGAAAGCTCACCACCTCAGCGCTGGACTTGTGCTCCACCATCACGGCCATCTTGAACTTCGTTGCGGCGTCCACGGCGTGCAAGACCGAGAACCGCATGCCGACGCCATCGAAAACATCAAAGACGTCGATGCCAACCTGGTCGCCGGGCTCGCGGGGCCCCGGCAATGATGCCGGTCTTTGCACCTTCGGTGGTCGCCGCTCCTCGCAAAGGGGACACTTCAGCTGCTTCGCGGCCAGCACAGCTTCAGGAGGAGCGCCTGCAATCATCAGGGCCCGTTGGCACACGCAGGGGGCTCCGATGCCCAGTGTTCTCGTGGAGCCTCCTCACCGCCTGCCGCACCGCAGCCGGAATCGCCTTGATCATCCTCTCCTCCTCCGTGGCCTGGGTCGGCTCATCCACCTCCGACTCTTCGCCATGATCTGAGACCGGGTCGTCATCCTTAAACGTCTCTGCCGCCAGGCCTTCGTGAACCTTCCCGGGATCCTCCACATAGTCTCGGTCGAACTGCTTCTCGATACCTCCAAGGGCTCGGGCCGCCAGCTCGCCGAGGTCCTCAGCATTGCTTTCCTTGAGCGCCGTCACAAAGGAGGGGCTCGAAGTCACGTAGCGCCGCCCATTCATCACGAAGTCGGCCTCACCGAGCTCATCAAGAAAAGCTCCTTGCCTTCCGGGGTGCGGTCGGGGCGAGCGCCACGATCAAACTCGATCAAAAAATGCCGGCCAGACCGACGATGTGCCAGGGCCGCCTTCAGCACGGCCGCCTCGGACTCCAATTTTTTCTTTTCAGCGTCGCGTCTGGCCTGGGTCCCCGAAAAGTTAAGCAGAGGAGAGGGGCCGGCCAAGCGGAAGCAAACGAAGTAAGGCCGGCCAGGCGCCGCATCCAAAGGCCGCCGTCACGGCATGCCCACGTCGACCAGCTTCCTCAGTGAGCAGCTGGCCTAGGCTAGGAGAAGACCGCCGCGGCCAGTTGCCAGCAAGGTCAACGAACGGCTCGGCCAGGGCGGTGTCATAGTCCTGGGCAGCCGTCATTTCAAAAGCTTCGCGCACATCTTGGGAGGTAACATGCAGCAGGTCGCGGTCACGGCGGTATTTAGCCCAAGCTTGTCGAAGAAGGAGCTGCTGCCCGGGCTTGACCTGCTGGTGCAACTCAGGTATCACCTCCTCCACCAGACCGAAGCCCATGTTGCTGTCCGGCGACAGGGGATCTTCCCCATGGTGGGTCCCTGCCTGCGACACGGCCATCACGTGCTGCATGGTCTGGGCCAGGAGGCTTTCCATTCGATTGTCCCGCTGCTCCATCATCGCCTGCACTTCTCGAAGGATTTCGTCTCGATGGTGGCCCGGTGGAGCCTCCATGGGCCCGGCTGTCCTTGCAAGTGGTTGTCCCGAATCTGGTCGCCCGGAGGTTCGGGTAGAGGTTGCACGGTCGCCGTCGGTGCTCCCGGTGGGGTTGCCGAAGAAGCTGCTGGAGTCTCCAAGGGAATGCCCCGAAGTGTGTCGATCATCGGGCGGAGCTTCTGCTTGAGCTTGTCCACGGTCTCGGCGGAAGAGGTCTCGACATTGAGAAGCGCTGCCAGTCGCAGCAAGTCCCCCTTTAAAGTGGGCAGCCCCCCTTGCCGCCTTCATCGCCTCTCCCTTTTCGTGCTTCTCCGCCGCCTCGCACTTGAGCTTGGACACCAGCTGGGACTGGATGGCCGCCTTGGTTCCCTTGGTCGCCTTGGCTGCCAACATGCCGTCCAGCATTGGATCCTCCAGAAAAGCCAATCTGATTCCCAGGCGGTCGCGGAGGTAGGCTCCATCTTTCAGCAGCTCCAGGTTCTCGAAGAGGTTCTCCATAACGGCTCGCCTGAAGTGCCGACGGGGCCACGCACCGTTCTTCACCATAGCCTCGGCCTGCTCCTTCCACTGCACAGGGGACCGGACGCTCCCGTAAGGCAGGGGAACATACCGAAGAGAGGGCCGCTGCAGCAACCAAAGCAGAAGCCCACCGAAGTGCCACATGTTGCGGCCGAGCACGCGGAGGCATAGCCGGCGGTAACGCTGGATCACCTTGGCCGTGCCCTCGAGGAACGCAGGCATTGCCCGCCTTTACCGTCAGGGCCTTGCTTTCCCGGGGCTTGGGTCTCATGCTCGAACCCCCAACATTGCGAATGCCGGCCGACGCTTCAAGTGAAAGTTGCTCATGCACTCGCTCTCCCGAAGCAACAGGCTTAAGTGCAGCTGCCCTCCTGCGACACCACTCGCACACGGAAACCTCCACCTCAATCACTCCATCCACGCCTTGGCGTCTCCACCGGCGGTTGGGCAGGTTGAGCGGGATCGCCGGCAGGATCTCGAGGTAGAGGTGCCCTGCCGTCAACTGCTTCAGTGGAATGCGCTTGCCATCCAGGTAATCTGCACGCAGGGGTGTACGGGTAAAGCTGATCACGCCTCCGATGCCCTCGAGGAAGTCCCGGCCCAACAAGAGGCCGAGGCTTGGGACCTCAACCACGCTGGTCCACACAAGGATCAAAGTGTCACCCACTAGCATCGGCAAGCGCTGGCGCTCAAAGCTTCGTGCCGTCATTCCCGAACTTAAAGGTCTCACGCTCAGCCTCCGACTCGAGAAGCGGAGCCAGGGCCTGCCAGCAGGGCAAACCACGCAAAGCGACGATATAGTTCTCAAACCACTCGCGCCCACAGACCGTTCGGTTGCATGCTGAATCAAGAGCGCCCACTAGCTTTTTGTCCACTACCAAGCTCCCACCGGCCAGGGCTTCGTTCACCCCTCATGAACCATGTGCCCCTCAGGAACCTCGTGCTCAGCCTCCACCGCAAAGGTCTCAGTCAAGTGGACCCGTCGGGCCGGAGACCCCGATTGGCTCTGGCTGCCAGCTCCCTTGCCGCCCGCCTTCTTGAACAGTCCCACTCCCGGCTTGGGGCAGCACGAATCTCCAGCCCAGTGCCCTTGCTGGCCACAGTCCCAGCACATGCCGCGCTTCTTGATGGGGCCGCCGGTCGAAGAAGGAGAGCTCGGCCCCGATCGGTTGCTTGGCCCACCGGCCTTGCCAAAACCACGGTCCTTCCTCACGGCCTGCAGTTGCGCACGGGCCTCACGCATGGAGACCAAAGCTTCCGCAGCACTGCCGTAGCTATCCTCCAAGTTGCCAAGCACTTGTTCGTCACATCCTTCTTGCTCGGCCTGTTGTTCAAGTTCAGCCGCAAGGGCCTCCGCTTCCGTCTCCAGCAGCTCGTCCAGCCCGGCCTCGCGGTCGCCCGTGTCCGCTTTGAGCTCGTCATCCTCGCCGCCCTCTTCGTACTCCGCCGTCTCGTCCTCCGTCTCGGCTGCCATGGCCTGGCGGGGCCGCGAAAAGGGGAATCGTCTTTGCTGAAAAGAACATTTCACTGTGTCACGTGTTGTGACTCGCATCGGAATGCAGTTCCTCACGATCTCTTTTCACTCCAACGGTCTGTGATAGCTCTTCAGGGCCTCGTGCGTTGGAGATGTTTCGGCCCCACTGTCCAAAGCCGCAAGAGGCTCAAAAGAATCAGCAGCTCGATCTGCTGCCAGACCCATACTACACCTTTCCACCCGTGAGGAACCCCTCTGGGTGGGCGGGTGGGACAAAGAAAAGGCTAGGACCTGGGTCCCTGCTGTACTCGAGCATAATGCTTCGTGTACAGCTGGTTAAATGCTCTTAAGCATGCCTAGCCCCTACCCAGCCAGCCTACAGTAGGCATGGCCACAAGAACATTTCACTGTGTCACGTGTTGTGACTCGCATCGGAATGCAGTTCCTCACGATCTCTTTTCACTCCAACGGTCTGTGATAGCTCTTCAGGGCCTCGTGCGTTGGAGATGTTTCGGCCCCACTGTCCAAAGCCGCAAGAGGCTCAAAAGAATCAGCAGCTCGATCTGCTGCCAGACCCAATGCAACAGCCTGCAGACATCCCCAATGCAACAAGTCCCTCCAAGCTTGGCCCAGACCGCTGGTGTGAACCTGAGCCCACGGCGTACATGGGGTTTGAAACAAGCTCCAGTTCTGTTGTTGAGTCCATTGATCCGCAATGCCGTCGCGACTCAACCCATCGGAAACATTCGAGTTGGAAGGGACATACTCAACATACACACGGCAGTGGAGTCGCATCCAAATGAGGTGAGCTGTAGTCGCCAGCATTGCAATATCAGCCGCAGTACTACCTCCTTTGACAAGCGCAGAACAGATTGCAGTATTATCCACAAATAGCAGAATGTCAGATCCTGCCAGTTTGTCTGCCAAGAGGACAAAGGCGTGCACTACCGCAAGCGCTTCCAATGGCGCAATCTGCGTCTCCCTTGGCTGGAAGGCTTCCAATTGCGTACTCTCCACCGATGCTGCAAGCCCTATGCCCTTGGCTTTCTGTGCGGAGTAACCAGGTAACAGCACGGCTCCCAAGCCAGGAGCTATCATATCAGATGGCTCCCAACTCGCATCAGTGTAAAGGATCTGCACTGGCGCCAATCTGCGTCCCAGTGGGATGCATCTCGGCTCCACAAACTCGGCAATCAACTTCAGGAACGATAGGGATCTCTCCATTACTGGGTCGACGTCCGTGGTGTCGTCGAAGTATTGACGCTGTATCAGGGCTTGGCATCCCCCTCTTGCGCACTTGCCAAAGGCGGCAGAGCTAGCCCAGCCGAAACGGCCCCGAAGCTTAGCCGCCTGGCTTGGAGTGCACGTGCCACTTTCCAGAATGACCTGTACTTCATCTTGCAAGGCCTGGCGTAAGCCTGGCTTGACATCCATGCTGAACGTGCCTTGGGCAAATTTCGCAAAGTCAAGCATGACTCCGAGGAAAGTACGCTGAACGGCCACGGGTTGCTGCTTTGAGGGGTCGAGTTTGATTCCCAACAGCATACAGATGACATGCATCGCTTCTTGGGCTGATCCACATGCACTCAGAAAATCGAGCACCCCCGAATCATCTAAATAGTGGGTGACTGCTGATCCCGTCATTCTTCGAGCCAGTGCCGTTGTGAGCGCCGGCACTCTGTTGAAGTTGACTACTGCTGTCCCTAGTCTAAACGGGTGCGCATGCAGGATGGCGAACAAGACATCTTGCGCATAGACATCAAACCAATAAGCCACCACAAGACCTGCGTTATCAGCAGGCAAGTTCGGGATTTGTCGGTAAGCGGAGGCCATATCATCTGACCCAAATGCTATGTATGCCCACTCCGGCACAGTGGAGTTTTCAGATGTCAGCATGGCCCAAAGTGCCTTAGCACACGCTGCCACAGCATCGGGGCTGGATGTGAAGATGGTCTCCGCGCACCAACACAAGGCATTATGTCCGGAGGATTTGCCGTTATCGATGGGGCATATTTTTCCACACGGCTGCACGTGTGCAAATCGCTGCATGGGCAGCCAACGGCCTACCCCAAAGATGTCATCTAACTGGCATTTGGTGAGTGGGCCGGATGCAATGCCTTCCTTTATTTCCTGTCTCGTAAAGTCAGACAAGAATTGCGAATGCTCATCACAACGTAGAGAACTCAGCAGCTTACGAGTCAACATCTCCGCAGGGGGACCTAAAGAGGATGCTAAACCCAAAGACCCAGGACGGGGCAATGGCTCATCGAGCTTCCTGAAGATTTCAGGCGCCTCAACCTCACCTAGCAACGCAAAACCTAGGACAAACCTCCGCCCAATAGTGAGGTCTGGCCATCGCAGGAGCATTGCGGAAGCAGTCATGACGGCAGGCCTGCGTGCTGAAGCCACCTTGTGAACTTGGGGGCTCATGCACCGAACCAGCGCAGCATCAAGAGGGGCAAGCCATTTAGCTAAGCACTTGAGAGCCCTCACTTGCTGACGCCTCCATGTGCGCAAACTTGGCCCCCAAACATACATGCATCTCAATGCAAACAACGCATCGTCGTCCAGAACACTCTCTGAGTCGTACGGGGAAGGCACGCTGCAACTGAAAAACATGTGTTCAGCTTTTGTCAACTCTGCAGGGAGCAATGGTTGACATGCCCACTTGGATTTCGGGCCTCCCCGCTGAGTATCGAGCGACAAAGCAGCCTCGGCCCTCGCCTTTTGCTGTGCCCAGCAAGGTCCCTGACACTCTGACCGCATGCCACGCATTTGCGTGTCCACCCAATAAATCTGGAGACGCCTGCACGCCAAGTCCACCTCCGGGTTGGGGGTGAGTGGCTGAAAATCTGGCAACAGGTCCCTGAAGTGGAAATGCAAATGCTCCGCCAAGTCTCCCGCAGTGATGACTCCGGGCCATGTGTCAATGACGCCCGGTTGCCACGGCGTGCCTGCAACACATCCTCTGAGACGTTGTTCCACTCCTGCATACAACGGCGGCCGACATGCCACGGATCGTGGTAGCAATTGACACGCAAGGATGATGGCGATCATGACTGAAGGAATATGAAAGCTGTTGCCCAGCATGCTGCATTTCATGGATTCGCACCTTTTAGGTCCCACATCGAGCGCAACCTGTTGCAGTACAGACTCTGGCACTCCCAAAATGCGGGCACGTTCAACTGCGTCAGGCTGCCTCCACTCCCCTGCTTTCCATAGCAGACACTCCGCTTGGTATGTGTGCGGGGGAAATCTGCGACCGTCCTGCCTAAAGCGCGTAATCGTGTCCTCATCCAAACCTTGCAACTGATCTTCAGGATGACAAAAGGCTCTTGAGAACTCTGGCAACGCCTTGCTTTGACAAGCACCCTTAGCGACATCCACCGGGTCAAAACACGGCAAGTAGCCTGAGCGCCACGGTGACAGCGGGGGCCAGGGCTTTTTGTGCCGCCATTGCGCAACTAAGTGTCCGCCCTGATCCCTTTCCAATTCTATGCAAGCAGGGGGTTTCGGAGATGGGATGGAGGTGCCCTTCTGGCCATCGGAAATCCAGAAACATCTTGAACGACGGGCATAGCCAAACGTGCCCGCATGAACGAGTAGCGGCGGGCCTTGCATGACATGATGAGTTTGCTCCACGAAGTCGCTCGACTCATGATTGCCACTTTCCAATATGGCCAGTACTGGTATCTTCAACCGAAGCTTCGTCAGGAGTTGTCTGACTTGCCTCGCCACCTCGGGCACTTTGCTAAACAGTTGCATGTCGGAAGCTTTCATGTCCTTCCTGTCAGGATTAGGGCAACTGGCTTCCTGGCAAAGTGGACCTCCAATGACCATGACGAGTGTGAACCTGCCCGACTGCAGTAATGATTCGAGGCATTCCACGTGGAAGTTGTGGGCATCGGAGACATGTGCCACATGCCTGAATGCTCTTGTAACAACCATGGCCGCACCACGATCACATTCAACTGCCACTGCTGCGAAGGACAGTCCCAGTGCTAAGAGTGCTAACATGGCACCCCCAATGCCATCGAAGAGAGATATCAAGAGTATCGGACCAGCCCACGGCGCAGGCCACGGGAGTTGTGGCAAGGGTGAAAGCCCTCTGTATGTGACAACTCGCAAGGTTTCCCACTCCGGCGTTGGGATGCACATGTCGTCGAAATCAAATGGCACTGTTGCTCTGCAACCTTCAGACAAGATAACACGCCCAGGCCCAAGCGGTATCTCCGCCTCCCGGACCATTATGTCGCGAACCTGACACCTGGTCTGCTGTGGGAAAGGCTGGCGCAACGAGGCTGAACGCTCCAATGGGCCGGTGAGCTCTGTGGCCCCGTCCGCCAATATTCGCGGAGGGACAGCTGGGACTCCGGGCCCAGGCAGTTGCAGCCCAACTGTCGCCGCTGGCGTTGACAGTGCAAGAGCCCCGGCACCGGAAGGTTCTGCAGTGTGGCAACGTGCAGTCGGTGCAATAAGAAGGTCCTGCACACTGTCAGCTGTGCTACGGCGGCTAAGGACTTCACCCGACGAGCGGACCAAGCTAAGCGCACCCCGCCACAAACGAACACGCTTGGAGCGCCCTGCAAGCTGGTCCAGTGGCATGGGCCCGGGGAACGGGTCGTGCACAGCGGCCTCAGGCGAGGCAACACATGGCTCACGAAGCCTCGCCCGGCCTAACCCCTAGCGGTGGGGGCAATCATTTCTGACATGATCTCTGGAACCGCAGACTTTGCCGTCCGGCTTCACGACATCGCACACATGCAACCGTCCGTCTGGGCATTGTGCTTCTTTGTCAGTGCACGTGCGGTTGTCATTGCGTTTCTTGCAAATGTACTTATTGCCCAGCATGTTGGCAGTGCGGGGCTTGCCCATTTTTGCAGGGCTGGGGCTCTCAGGAAACTCCGCGCTGCGCTTCAGCTGACCAGACTGAACAGGCGGAGTAACCAGCCAGTATAACTCTTGCGCCTGCCACGCAGCTTGCAACGCCTCGCCCTGGGGCCACCCTTCTCTCTGCAGCTCAATGGCCCGACCTCGAGTAGCTTCATCTCTGGCTCTCAGCCATTCCAACGGAGCCTGATGGTCTGAGGCGCACCGTAATGCGTTGTCTGCGTATGCCAGATTGACATGCAGTGGTGAGGCAGTGCACTTCTCACCCGGCTTAGCCTTGCTATCCACCTGGACATTACCGACAATACTGAGCCCGTTTGCCAGAACTCTCAGGCCCTGGTAATAGGCGAACACGGTGGAAATCGGCATGTCTGCTATGTCCCTGTCAACCTGGATGGAGATTTGGCCGGATAGAGTGATGCGACGCTCATGCGATTGGGCTCTATTGGCGAATGCCAAGCTACGCACTTTTGCAATCGGGATGAGGGTAGGAGTGCCTCTGACCATCTCCCTGTACAACCTACCCAGTAGGGAATCAGCCGGGTGTAAATGGACAGACATTTCCAGCGCGTATTTGCGCCGCCATGCTTGCAACAGTGACTCTTGGGTACCCGGCTCCAACGGCTCGTCTAAGTCTTCTGAGGGTACTCCTTGCTGCTTCTTCAGCTCGGCTTTCAAGGTTTGCGCACGGGCCGCGCGCCATGCCGCCCGGATCCTGGCCGTGGCAATCGCATTTTGCCGGGTAGCTGCGCACGCATCAACCAAGATTGTGACTAACTCAGTCTCGTAACCAGCCTGCGTGACCAGGTTGACAAAATCGTCAACAGACTGCAGCCCCACCGTGTCAATTGCATATGTGATAAGCTGTGGTGGGACCCTGGCCTCTACCAAGCACTGTCTAAGGACATCAAGTGCAGGCCCCGCCATTGCAATCTGCGCCTTCCTACCTGTTTCGTGCGCTTGAGCAACTTGCCACAGATCGTGCTCCTGGAAGTGCCAAGGTAAACACGCTCACAGAGGCATAACTTTCCGCTCAATCTTATACATTGAAGAAGCGCAATGCTCCGACTCAGCCGTGGCACCCAGCCCATTCACTGGACGATCGCCCGAGGCTATGTGAAACACCAACTCCGCGGTGGTCACAAGTGCTGGCATGCAAGCAAGGCAATGCACAGCATGTCAGAAGGCTAAGCACCTTAATTTTATTTTTTTTCGCCGCGCGCTCACACGGTAAGTACACACATAGCATGACCACGCTAAGCATGGCGGACCAGCGCAATGCTGCCAACCCCAATGCCTTTCACTCCCTCTCCTGCTGTCTGAGAGCCATGGGTGCCCTGGCCCAGCACTTACGGCATGTGATGCTTCAAAGGGCACGTCTCTGCACCATGGGATCAAGCGGCCCCCCATCAAACGCTGCACGATGTGCTTCTGACCCTGCGGTTTCTGCATAAACCAGGCAATGTCTTCCGGTTGAAAGTCCTCGGATTCTGATGACGACGAGGAACTAGCAGAACTACCACTCGGGTCCTGGGCTCCTTGAGAGCTGCAACCGGGCTTCATGGCATCAACACCTTCCGAAAGTGTCTCCACTTCGGACCATGACGGAGCATACGATCTTAAAGAGTCCCAGTCAGGCTGGGTCAATTTTGGCATACTGCGACAAGCCATCAATATAGCGATGATGACTTGGGTTTTAACCATGCCTGCGGAGGTGACACTGTGCTGTGCATACCGTGCTGCCATCTGGTGTTTTGCCGGCTGGCGCTGGCCTTGCGCAGCTTCCTTGGCTGTTGATGGTTTCTCCACCCACAACCTCCCAAGCCATCCCTGAGGTGTCCTGGGACCAACAAGAGGTCTGCGGCCGTAGGCAAGAAACGTCTCAAGGCATATGAGGTTGGCGGCTGCTCAAAGCGAGCACTGGGGGATACTGCGCTGCACAAAGATTGGAGCATGAGAGCAAACTTGGCGATGGACATAGGCTTAGCCCTCTTAACCGTACCTGCGTGTAAAGGGTCCTGTTTCCCGAACTGCAGGTCAGGAACTACAAACTTAGCATCCCTCCGCTCACGGGTCAGCTCCGCCCAATCCAACAAGATGCGAGCACCAAGGTCGAAGCCGCCAATGCGCGCTGGCGCTGCCCATTGGAAAGGCGGCCTTACCTTCCCTATTCTGCGCTTTCCCTTTGAACAAGTACCATACAGGAGATCTCCACGCACATATAGAGAATGGGACCGCTGCATGTGAGCAAATCTGAGGCAACCGCCAAGGGCTAGCAATACCCAAGCAGCGGCTGAAGCTAAAGTACCCCTGAACCCCGGAGCGGCCCTAACTATTGCAAGGAAAACCCCCACGGGAAGAGGATCCATCGGCGTGGAACAGTGTGAAGGATCTGCAATGCTCCAATGCTGCACCAAGGCATCTGTAACCGGGAACGGGATACCGATGGCATCACGCCACCATTTGAGGCTGCTATACATGCCTTTTGCTGCAGTTGGTCCCCCTTGACTAATCTTCGCCAAGAAGTCTGACAAGGCCAAGGAAGAAGGCCTCCAGTAAGGCATGTCAGATGGGCATTGCTGGGCATGGAAACACGTCCATCGCTTGAAAGCACGTCGGTGAGCATGCAACTGTTCTGTGTCCACTGTCAAAAGGGCACGCTCAAACAAGGGCCTACTGCGCTCCGGACATGCTGCCAGCTCACTACCAAAGCGCACGTTCTCAGAACCGACTGCCCTGGCAACCTGAAAAGCCATGTCCAGCAGAGGCTGTCTATCGTCTCCTGCAACGACCTTGCCTGGGTCACATGCTTGGAACATGATCCTGAACGGCTTCTGCAAAAGCGATGCCGGAGGCACCGCTCGGGCTTTCGGACGGGCAGCAAAGAAATTCGCAGTCACAGCAGGTTTGTGGGGCAAAGGTCGAAATGGCGGGAGACGTTCCAATTCAACATGACGTAGAACACATGCGATCCTCCAGGCATCTGTCACTGCTTTGACCACATCACTCGCAGGAAAGGTATCAAAGATGTCCCGTTCACAGGTAAAGCAGTGGGCGATATCAGCGACAGTCTCGACCCCAAGGTCAGTCAGGGCCTTCCTAGCCGCCTCGTGCAGCTTGTCCCTCAATGCAGGATGATCCATAGCTGCAAAGCATCGAGACAAAGAAAAGGCTAGGACCTGGGTCCCTGCTGTACTCGAGCATAATGCTTCGTGTACAGCTGGTTAAATGCTCTTAAGCATGCCTAGCCCCTACCCAGCCAGCCTACAGTAGGCATGGCCACAGCCCGTGCCCCGGCCAGCCCCAGCGAAGGATCCCGAAGTCGAGCCCTTAGGCGTAGAAGAAATGGGCCGAGAAGCGACCGCTCGGAGGGCCGCCGCCACCAGACGAAGAAGAAGAAGCATAACCCATTCCTCGCCCTCGGCCGCCTCGTGGTTCAAAGCCGGCCCGGCGAAACAAAGGGTCCGCCGCATGGAGGTCCTTGAACAAACGCAAAGCCTCAGCCTCGACCTCCTCGAACTTCTCCCGGCCCTGCAAGGCCGTCTCCAGCAACTGTTTCCGCAAAGGGTCGAGGCCGAGCTTCTCACGAAGAAACCACCCCATGCGAATGCGCACTGGCAGCGTAGTCGGAGCAATCTGTTTTAGCCGCAAGCATGCAAAGTAAAGTGTCGTATGTGTCTGTGCACGTTCTTCGTAGTGCTGGTGAAAACTCCAAGCAGACCTGACCAATTAGCCTGGCAACTGCACATGCACCGGGCTCGTGTTGGGCCAGCTGAGAGGCGAGGCGAGTCGGCCAACATGTTGGATACACCCAGGCGAATCTCACACCGGTAATTCTTTCTTTGGCCGCTCGTCCTCTGCATCCATCTCGAGTTCTTTGGCCTTAACCACGGCCTCTTGCTGCCTCGCTTGAGACTGCTGTCGTCGCCGTTGGCCATCGGAGTCCTGGCTGATTTTCCGCCTCTGTCGTTCTAGGCGCTTCTTCTCTTTCATCTCCGCGTTCTCAGCCGACTGCGCAAAGGTCATCATGCCGGTCCGCAGGAACTCCCGAAGGGTGTCCTTCTCGGCATTCGCCTTCGTCAGGACATTCGCGATGTTCTGTGCCCCATCTATCCAGTGGGTACTCGCCCTTGGCCTCCTGACCGTCTCCCGGAGCAAAGCTCCTTCGATCGCCATCCGCTTGTCGCTCGACGTAGAGGTCGCGTCCTTCTCCAGGTAGTCGTACACCGACCGGGCATCCGTGATGTATGCCCTCCGTCTCTTCTCGATGATCTCGGGCCAGGCACCAAGGTTTATCTCACCGCTCAAAGCCTCCTCCAGGAGCACTATCACCCAGTCTCCTGCCTCCACCGCCTCAGCCAGATGACTGGCCTCTGCTGCCAAAGTGCTTCTGCAAACACGCTTGGTGAGGCTGCTGTGGTAGCACAGGATGTTGGCACGTGCCGTGCCGCCTTCTTCCAACACCTCCGGGTTGGCCACGAGGATAAAGTAGCCGCCCACCGACTTGTAGCGCATCTCCTCCTTGTGGTCCGGGGTGCCGTTGGCATGGCCGGAATCGGCCAAATGAAGTATGGCCCCATTGGCCAAATCCACGTCTGACCAGTAGCGCTGCTTGAAGTCTGCGCCCCTTCTGGCCATTCCCACGAATTGCTTCAAAAGCAGGAGGTCGGCCACGCAAGTGTCGGTCTTGCTCCTCTGCACGACCCCGTTCTCATATGCCAGGTCACATCTCAATTGCCTGGCCAGCCAACCAAGCTCACCCGCGCTGCTCTGAAAGGTGGTGAGCTCCTCCTCGGTCAGCTCGTCGCGTAGCTGCTTTCTCCTTTCGTTGTCCACCTTGACAACCTTCATGCTCATTGCGTAATTTCGCATTGCCACGTCAATGTGCCCGTTCTCGTGCTGCTTAATCTCCCTTCCCCGGAAAATGAACTCCTTCACGTGGTTGGTGGCGAACTCCAGGGCCAACGAGGACTTGGCAAAGGCCGTGCCGAACACGCTGTGGTGAACCCCGCCCTCGATGTCGTCGACATGGGTCACCAAAATTCCAAGCAACCGCCCTTGCACCCTCAAGTAGAAAAGTGCTGGCTCCAAACGGCTCTCTCGCCACCCGTCGCTTTCAAGGTGTTCTCGAAGTGCCAGCCAAAACAGTCGGGCCGCCTCCGCGAAGCCGTAGATGGCCTTCTTTGCCTTAAGCAACCTCCCGGCTTCAACTCCTGGCAAGCCGCCCTTTGGAGGCTCCAGGTAGATCTCGCGCCCGACGTTCTTGCCGGAGAAGTAGGCATTCTTTATGTCCTTGGCCAGCAGCACAAACTTGTGATAAGCACAAACCGCCAAGCAGACGCTCTCTGCTATCGCCGAGGCTGTGGGTGCGTCTCGCCGATAAAAGCCCAGGGACTTGTCCTTGAAGCCCTGCACCACCAGCCGGGATTTCGCGGTGAACTCCTTGCCGATGATGCCGTCGGCCTTGGTTCTCACCCATCTTGTCGGCACGATCAGGTCGGGCTTCTCCTTCCTGATTCGCCGGCTCTCCGAGGCACTTAGTATTTCACAAGCCTCCTTCATCTTCCAGGCCGACCACTCCTTCTCATCGGAACCGCCGGCTCCAACGAAAAGTTGCCTTTGTTCGTCGGTCACCTCGCTGAGCTTTAGCTCCTTTCGGCCCTTCTTCTTGCCTCCGCCGTCGTTGTTGGCTTTCCCGGCGCTGGCCGCGAGCGCCTCATAGCGCTCCTGAAAGGAATTTCGCCGAACCCCGAACATGAAGTCCTCGGCGCTGACCCCTCGGCTCATGTAACTGGCCTCGTGCTCGTAGTAGCGGTCGAGGGCGCGCTGTCTCAAGTAGCCTGGGCTGGCTGCCGCAAGGTAGGCGTCGAAAACTTCGGCGTTGTAGTTGCTGTGCTCGCTGCTCCCGACCGCACCGGCCTTCAGCCGCTTTGCCTCTCGCTCCATTGCTTCCTCCTCCGGGGATTCCACCATTGGAGAAAGCTGCCGCCTGGCCGGGGCCGTGTGGTAGTCATTGACGTCGGGGTCCCAGTCGATTTCGGAGAAGAGGTCCATGTCGTCATCTCTCCCTGCCGGCACATCCTCAGGTCGAGGGGCCGGCGCCGGGGGAGCGGGCGTTGACGGTTCCGCTCTCTGGTTGGCCTCCTTTCTCTGTTTCCTCCTTCTGTCTTGGTCCCGGAAGAAAGCCGAAGACCTTCGTGCCCGACTTGCGTCCCGCTCGGACTCCCATCGCGATCGAGCCGCTGACAAAGAACTCGAACTGAGGTCACCGACCGGCTCCTCACGACGTGCTCCTCGTTGCTCGCCTCCGCCTTCGGCTGCGTCCTGTGCGCCTCCTTCTGGCATCGTGCCACCGGGGTCCTCGACTTGGTCCTCCAGGGGCTCTGGCGGCAAAGGTGCCCGACGCAGGTCAATGAAGCCGGTACCGCCAGAGGGCGGGATAACGTCCATCAACTCGATCTCGTCCGTCACAGCCATCCACTGCTGGACCTCGCTGTCATCTGCCAGAGCCAGGTGCTCAGGTGACACCGCCAGGAGGATGCCCCGGTGGGACAGCCACACGGTTCGCGAGCCTTCTTTCCCGACAACTCGGGCAACGCCCCTCCAACAGTTAGGCCCGGGCTCCTTTGCTGCCGCGTCGTAGTAGAACACGTAGGTGCCGATGGGGAAGGGGCCCCGAGTGGGCCGTACCTTTCTCAGCTCTGCCCTTCGTAGCACCTCGTCGTTGCTTGCCCGGGCAAAGGCTTCCCTGGCAGCGAATCTCAACTGGGCTCGCCGATGAAACTTCGTTCCCGGCGTGTCGGCCAAAGCTTGTGCCCCAATGCGGGCCACCTCGCCATCATCTGCCAGGCTGGCCGGCAATCGAATGTCTCTCCCCAGAACCCATTGTGTTGGGGAGAAACCGGCACGCCTGCTGAGGGAATTCTTAGCCTGTGTCGCCGCCGAGGTCGCCAGCAAAACTTCCTCTCGCCCTGCCACTTGTCCGTCCCAGACCAATTTCTTGAAGGTGTCCTTCCAAATCGCCCCGTGCCGCTCGACTTGCCCCAGTTGCCATGGGGCGGCCTTTGAGGCGGCCTCCACATAACAGCCGTGCCCGGCCAGGTCCTCCGCAACGTCGGCCAGGAAGTACTTGGCACGATCCGTCATGATGCCCCGCTCTGGGTACCCTGCCCATCCAAACCAAGAGGTGCTCAACGCCTCCAGGACCACCTCCGAGGTCGGGTTGGCAAAGGTGTCGCCGAGTAGGTTCACCACTTGGAAGGTGGTGCCCTGGCAAAGCACGCTAAGGAAGGTCCACTGTTGCCCCTGGGCGTCTTTGGCCTGGAAAATGTCCATGCCGATCATCACATTGAACTCGTCTGTCATTGGCAGCTTGCTGGGTCTGGGTCTCTTCGGCTCTTGCAGTCTAGGACACTCTGGGCAACGGAAGAGGCGGCAGGCCTTCACGGCGGTCTCGGAAGCCCGGGCGATTCGCATCGCCCTCAGCATCGCTGGCATGCTAGCGTGTCCCAAGTTGACGTGGACCCGCTTGATTGCTAGCTTCAGCTCCCTTGGCAAAGCCTGCCATTTTCGTGCTCGTTGTTCCTCGCGCCGTCGCCCTCGGTCATCGTCTCCTTCTAGTTCTCCCGGCTCGTTGCCCAGCTCGGTGCCGAAAACCGCCACGTAGAGGAGGCGGCCCTGAGCCGAAAGTGGCCTGACCTGGGCTGACGGTGCCAAGCTGCCCCACTGCTCGAAATCGGTGCTCAAAGCCTCGTGCCCGGACATCAGAACGAAAGACTTCCGCAAAGGCACCTCGGCCGGGCCGGCATGTGGTTGTGGTTTCTTAAGTCGCCTTGCTGTGGTTGATGCCAGAATGAGCCTCACGTCGGCTTCGGCACTCTCCAACGCCTTCCAGGTGATGCCAAGGTCACTGTCGAGGTTGATCTTGACCCAGTTGCCACCCCCGACCTGTTGCACATGCTCAAGGGTTGCCTCTAGCACGTCTATGGTCTCTTCATGGGTGACCTCCGTCCAGAAACCCCGTTGCAACTGCCGTGTCCTTTGCCTACGGCGCAAAGCCCGAGGATCCCGAGGTTGTGGTTGATGTTGTGGCTCCTCTTCTGCGGCCCTATCGCCGTCAGCCTCTATTCGGCCTCCGGCCCCGGCGCCTTCACCAGGAAGGGAAGGGGAATAGTCACTGAGGTGGTCGTACACTGCCGAGTCGTAGGGCAAAGCTGATTCCATATGTGCCTCTGTTGGCTCACGTGGCGGCCCTTCTGGATCCCGAGGTTGTGGTGGATGTTGTGGCGTCTCCTCTTCTGTGGCCCTCTCTCTCGTGAGCTCGAACTCTGTTTGGCCGGTCCACAGAAAGTCCATCTCCACGGCTCGGTGGTTCCAGCTTGCCACCTCCCAGTCGTCTCGGTGTTCCCGTCGTGTGCCGTCCTGGAGAACCATCCTTGTTATTCTCCCGGATCGTATTCTCGAGAAACGGCATGGCGGTGAGGTGCGGGACAAAGGGACGAAGAGACGGCGACGAGGACGATTGTGGATCCTAACCAGCCGGTTGTCATCGATAACCTGCCAGTCGTCCTCCTCCGGCTCCTCCCAGTCCATGTCGGCGTCGTCGCTTTCCACCTCCATCTCTTGGCCGCCGACCGGGTAGGCACTGGGCCTGGCCCTTGCCATCTCGACGGCATAGTCCAGGACCATTTCTCCACGAACTCCTAGGCCCACGGCTCGGCACAAGGCTTCGGGCCACTCCCCTTGACATGGATCTTGCGCGGGCGCGGTGATGGTAGATGAGGTTCCGCGGTGTGTCCCGAACGGGCAGCCACATTGCCGGCACAGTTGGTTGAGGATGCCGGGGCTGTTCGTGACCCACCTGGTCCTTCCCCGGTTTGGTGGCCGGGCCCCATAACGGCACTTATCGCCGAACTCCTGCGCCGCTTCCAGTGGCAACGTGACTGCCTGGTCGACCAGGCGGTGCTTGCCCTCGGGAGACTCGATCAAGTAGTATCTCCCTTCACGCTGTTGCCGTTGGCACACCGTCGCCAGGGTCTCCCATGGTTCTCCTTGTTCTTCAAGCTCCCACAACCAGTCGCCCGCCGAGATCACCAGCAAGTAGGGCTTGTGCTCCTTGATGGTATTCTCCAGTGCTCGCCGGCTGGCTGCTAAAAGGCCTTGTCCTCCGCCCTGGCGTGGCAAAGGGCTGGAACAGGTCCAGGCAAACTTGCTGCTGATCGCTTTCGTCAAGGTGGGCTTGGCTGCGAAAGGTTCGAAAAGGAAGGTGTGCTGGAAGCCACGCGTAGCCCACTGTTCCGCCATCGAAAAATTTCCCCGCAAGGCCGCGGTGCCTCTCACTTCCAGTGCTCTTTGCCGCCGCCAAGAACGGTGAAGTTCTCCAGCTCGCCTTTCCGAAAGCTGCCCCCGTCGGTCCTTGGCATGGACGCCCCTTGGACCAAAGTTGGGGCCGGCGGCTCCCTTTTCCACGGCACCGGTGAAGCACGCAGAGAACGGCGGATCCTGACACAGAAGCGGGAAGCCGGCCTCCTCAGTGTAGTAGGCAATCAGGTCGCCGATCTCGGAGTAGGCCCGCGGTGCTCCATCTCCTTTCCTGTCGGGGCTGGGCATTCCCTCACGGTAGGCAATCTCCATGGCTAGGTGCTTGGTCCTGGTCGTCACGAGCGGGACCCTTATGCCGAAAGCCTCGATCTTGGCCTCGCGCTTCTTCATAAAGAGGATCATGTCCAGCGCTTCCATGGCCGGAATCGACAGCAACATTGGCGTTGTGCCCTCGAGCATTTCGGCCGAGTAGATCTGGCCCTTGAAGCCCCCAATGAAAATCGGTATGCACCACACAGCCAGCCGTCCATCACTGCTCTGCCCATTGGCGAAGTGGAAGGTCTTCTTGGCGTTCGTCTCGCTGCACGCCATCCCGGCTGGGAGTGTCTTCTCGTAGGCTTTCCTCCAGGCTCGTGAGTGGAGGCAGCTGGTGCAGGCCGTGTCCACCAGGGCCAGTCGGGCCTCATTGGGCCGCCCGTCTTCTCCATCTTGGAGGTTGTGGTGGTCCAAATTGGTACCACCGGCAAAAGCGTGCTCTGCATTCTCAGTTCGCGGCTTGGCAAATTCTTGCTCCTCATTGGGCTCATAGGTCTCTGAATTCAAGAGGCTTGCAAACCTTTGGCAGGAAGCTGGTCGGTCTCCTGCACAAAAGGGTGAAATCCGGGCACTCGGCGGTGCCTTGCTCTCACGGCTTGTTCGGGCCCTGGCGTGCCATGGCCAAGCCCTGGTCCATTTCCAGCGTGTACTTGCAGCTGCGCTCTGTGACGAAATTAGCGCATCCAAAGAAGAAGGCGGTGCCGTCGCGACGGCGGCGAAGCACCATAGGGACGCCACAAGCAGCGCAAGTAATGCTGGCAACCGGCCGCCCAACCTCCATGCCCTCCGGAATCTCGATCCCCGTCCGTGGGCAGATGGGCCTCTCGGGCCGCGGTTCCGGGTAGCTTCGAAACGAACCGCTTCGCAAATCAGAGGTCTGTGGGGCCGAGCTGGCGCCGGGCTTGGTAAAGTCGTAGCCAGGGGCCGTTGGCCTTCTCCCCGGCAGGTCCTTGGTCGTGGCTGTTGCCGCGGTGGAAGTCGATGAAGTAGGGGCCCCGAGGGGGACCAGCCGCACAAACTTCTTTGTGCAGTGCTTCTTGGGAACTGCCTGAGCTTCTGAAGCCTGGCTCGCACCTCATCCTTCGACCCGCTCGGGCTGATGTTCCAGCGGTCGCAATCACATTGGAGCTCTCGGAGGCGCAGCTCCTCAAGCCTGGCTGGCCTCACGTCCCCCAGGCTGGTGACGGTAACGTCCTCAATGTTCCGCCGGTCCACGGTGACGACCATCTGCACCATCTCCTTCTGGGCCTTCTCCTTCGCCTTGCGGGGCTTCACTGGCAGCTCGGGCTGGTGCTCTGTCCGCACGGCCGAGCTCGAACCGGGCATTGGTGGTGCCACCTGCTCCCATTCGCTCCCAGAGGCCATCGTGTAGCCATAGCCGCCGGCCGCCTTCCGCTTATTATCCAACTCCGTGCGGCCACTGTCCTGTGCCATGTCGGAGCTGTCGCTGTCGGTGTCCGCCGCCGGCTCGCCAAGCACCATGTTGCAGTAGGCCTCGTCGTCTTCATCGCCCTCGCCGATGCTAAAGAAGCTGGGCATCTCGGCCACATAGAACGCCTTGTTCTTGCCCTTGCCTTTGCCCCGGCTGCTGCGACCGTTCTTGCCGCCCCCGCCTGAGCCGGATGCTCGCTTGGGGCACTCCCGGTCGCCGGCCCAGTGTCCCAGCCGATTGCACACCGAACATCTTGTCCTTGCTTTCTCCTTGGCCACCGCTGCTTTGCGCTCCTCGCTCGAAGCTCCAGGGTCCTTTGGCTTGAACCCCCGGTTCTTCTGGACCTCCCGCAAGCGCTGCCGGCTCTCACGGTACGAGGCGTAAGCCTCGAACACCTCCTCGTCGCCGGAGGCTCCAAAGTCCGACGGCTCCTCCTCGAAGGCGTCCTCCTGAACGGCGTTCGCGTGCCCCTCGTCCTCGTAGTCGGCGTCCGCTTCCTCGTCGTGGAAGTCCTCCTGGTAATCGGGGGGCTCCTCGGAATCGCCGGCCACGTGCGCATAGCCCTTCTTGCCGTGTCCCTTAGGTCGCCTGGTCGGTGACGAGCTCCAGTCTCGGCCTTGCCCGCGCTCCCGCTCGTGAACGTCATGGTAGGAAATCCTCAGGGCGCGCTCGATGCCTTCCATCGTGTAGCTCGACTGGTTCGCCAGCAAGATTTGCCGCCGCTCCTCTTTGGACAACCCCGCGTTCTTAAGGGCAAAGAAGGCAAGGAGGTCCTCCGACATGTTCAGGTTGTCGGACAGGTCCTTGAGGTCGTCCCACGCCTGCTTCCTCACCCTCAGGTAGTTGTCCATGGATTGGCCGCGCTTCCTGTGGCAACGCTCGAAGTAAGCCTCAAAAGACTCTGTTTTGCGAACCACACCGACCTTCTCGATCTGGGCCAGCTCTTTGAGGATCAGCTTGTAACCGTCGGGCTTCTTGAGGTCCTCGTTCGTCATCAAGTCTTGGCACACTTTCCATGCCTCACCGTGCAAAGCGTCCATCAGGCGCTTCGCGAACCTGCCCTTCTTCTTGGCCAAGCTTCTTGCCTCTTTGGCTTCGTCGTCGCCGGAGCCCTCCAGGTTGTTATAGGCGAAAAGGACCCTCCTGCGGTACTCGGTCATGAGGCTTGGCATAACCCCAGTGTAGTGTGGGATGCCATCGCGGTCCACGACGATCTCATCGTCTCGCCACCCCGGGCCCGAGGCTCCAGCAGCCGAAGCCATGGCCAGGAAAGCTCCGCTACCAGTGCGAATGCGCACTGGCAGCGTAGTCGGAGCAATCTGTTTTAGCCGCAAGCATGCAAAGTAAAGTGTCGTATGTGTCTGTGCACGTTCTTCGTAGTGCTGGTGAAAACTCCAAGCAGACCTGACCAATTAGCCTGGCAACTGCACATGCACCGGGCTCGTGTTGGGCCAGCTGAGAGGCGAGGCGAGTCGGCCAACATGTTGGATACACCCAGGCGAATCTCACACCCCAGTTCAGAGCTGGGAAGAGCGATCCCCTCGCTCTTAAGCTCAGCAGCCAGGAAGCGAAACCTCGACATAAAGTCCGCTGGCCGTTCCCCTGGCTTTCTCATAAGGTCGGTGTAGAAGAGCTTCCGCAGCTCACCTTTCTTGTCCAAAGCACTCGTGCCATTCATCTCCTCAAGGGCCTTCAGCAGCTTGTTCAGGCCCGCCAGCAGGTCCTCCTTCACCACCACGATCTCGACCCCCTCGGGGTCTTTCGCCTTAACTTCCGGCTGATATCGAAGGTCTTCGGGCGCAAACTCTTCGCCCCTCTGGCGAACCACACCGCTCTGCCTCAAGAGCCATCTCGCTGCCAGATTGTACTTCTTAGTGCTTTCCAGGTCTAGCGAAGAAAGCCACCACTGCATCTCACGGCTAAAGGCCCGCCAAGTCACCGGGCTGCCGTCCCAAGTCGGCACCTTGTACCAAGCCGACGTCGTCTTGTCGTCCTCGGCCATCGTGGCAAAATGCTCCGGCCAAGGCTGCCGTCAAAACAGGGCCTCCAAAGACCCAAGAAGAAAGAGGTAGTAGAAGACGAGGTCTTTCGCCGCGTCCTCCAGGTCAAAGCTGTGGCTGCCTAAGTCCAGCCAAAGGTGGGCCCCGAGGAGCCAAAGCAGAGAAAAAGCCGGAGGATTCCGGACAGAAAGAAGTTGCCAGGGCAGTGGTTCGCAGAAGCCAGCCGGCCCAGAAGTTCCAAGAAGAAGGGTCCCCTAGTCGGGACCAAAAGAGCTGTGCCCCTCGATCGCCAAAAGGGTGCCGCAGACACACAGCGATCACAGCCAGCAGCTTGCTAGCCAACAGGGCCTCAGCTGAGGCAGCTCCAGGTCGCCCAGCAGAAGGACACCCAGGGAGGTCACAATGAAGTAGTGAACCAGCTGCCTTTGGGAGGTAAAAGGTCACGAAGAAAAGCAAAGCGAAGGCGCAGGGAAGCAAGGATCGCAGAGCTACTCAGGCTCCGGTGCCACTATGAACCGCACTCGCAGGGCGGACAGCAGGCTACGCGGTTTTCCTGCCGATTGCCATAATCGGGTCAAGGCCTAAAAGTCGGCACGTACAAGACAGGCAGCTCACACATCGATCAAGACCCTTCGCTCACAGCATCTGGTTTCACAGCCATAGACCCGCGACTTTCCTAATACTGAAGAAGACTAGGTCTCGCACAAAGGCCGACAAGTCAGAGGAGATGTTCTGCAAGCTCTGCAACCCGGCGATTTGCGATTTCCTCTGGCACTCGGAAACAAACTCTTGCATCTATTCGGCGAAAGCAGCTCGCTGAGATACGGCGCCTCTCAGATCAATGTCGCAAGCTGGGGCTAATCCATGGAATCCATCGACGTCCTGCCCAGAGCATTCTGGACCAGGGGCAAGACTACGTGTGAGCGAGCTGATAGCGAGGAAAAACGAATGAATTCGAACAGATGCCTGCCCTTGTTGGTTCCTGTCTACTTGGCAATGTGTAGCAGACGACTCGTGCCGTCTGGCATACGAGGCAGCAAGCGCTCGACGGGTAGAAGAGCAGTTGCCAAACAGCTAGGAGCAGCTGAGAGCTGAGATGGAGGTTCGGTTCCTGGCGCTTGGATCTGCTTTCTCCGAGAGGTTCACGGCCTGAAAGCAGCGCTGCACATCATGCGAAGACTGTGCTGGCACCAGCGCCCAACCTTCATGTTTGGGCTCCGGTTCTCCTCAGCGGGCACGGGCCTGCTGGTACTAGTACCTCCCGTTTCAGAACGGTTAAGCTTGATCGCAGAGTCGTTAGAGGACTTCAGAGTGCGGCCACTTGCATCAAGGTCACCCCTTGCGGATTGGTGCGGGCCTTCTCCCCTAGTCAACCAAGCTGCGCCAACTTTCGACAAATCACTGTCGCGGGCAACCTCGTGCTCAGCCAGGCACCGGCTCAATGTGGGAGGATGCTGGGCATAGTGTCGCATCCGCCTCGGTGTATCTTGGTATGCTCTGCTGCTCTGCCAGCCTGCACTTTCGGCCCGTGAGAATCTGCGCTCCGTTGCACCATGGCGGTCTCGATGTTCGATCACTGATGCGAGGCATGTCGCCGCGTCATCTCGTAGGCCTCACCCCAGCCCAATCGATGTGCCTCCGGCTGTAAATGTCTGCGGTACATGCGCAGATTCGGAAGCATTCTACAGAATCAGACAGGGCACCTCGTAAGACAGGTGCGCCCAGTACTGCACCTCCTGCCCGTCGCCGGCGAGTAAGGCGAGCTCGAAGCCTGAAGGGAGAACACCCTCGGAGCCGTAATTAAGGTGAGCTCGACTGGGGCCGAGCAGCCGTCGTTGCAGACTTGAGCCACGCTTCGAGGAGCGCTGATGCCTTCCTCACAGGCTCGAAAATGCTGGAGGAGTACATGGCACCATGGCTACAGCAATGGCCTTACCCATGATTTCCAGCATCTCCTCAGCCTGAGCCGGGAAAGGGAATCGGGGCTGTGCACTTTTGGAAGCGGCAGTAAAGCCAAGGGGCCATCCGCAGCCCTCGTTCCGGAGCATTGCGGCAGGACAAGATCTCCCGGCTGAGGCGCGTGAGCCGCTGCCGCTGCCGATCAGACCTCAGCGAAGGCCAAGGAGGATGCAGATTTCGCAGAACTCCCTCCGGGCTCCCGAGCTGGGATCCCCACTCCGGCGAGGCAGCCACACACACAGAGCAGCGACACTCGAATCGAAAGCCAGCACGCAACTGCTCCTCCAAGCGAGAGCATGCGAGGAGAGACTCAGACTGATCCTTACATATCCTTACACTTGAGGCAGTCTTGCTCCTGTCTCGCCGTCCGCGGCAGCTTTACAGCATCACCTCACATCAAGTCAGCATGGGTGCGGTCTCCACCTAACCACGATCAGCTTTCTTCTGGAGGCCTCTTCGACATGTGCCATGACAGTGTGCTCCAGCTAGCTTCACTCACAGTCATTTCTTCCGCCCTCCTAGATAAGGTGTGGCGCACGCACATCTAGCGACTGCTTTGTGGCAAGCCACGGGGAACAACAACTCGTGGGATCCGAGTGTTCGAAAATCTGTTGGGGGATTTTCAGTACGCGGCCAGCTTCTTAGTCCTCGTAGGTCTACCAGCATGCACCACTAACTGTCTCAGCCCCACAGTAACACGAACATGTCTTAGCCGAAGCAGGGCACCGAAGTAGTTGACGCAGAGCTCTTCTCCCGGCTGAACGGCCCGAACGGCACGGACCTGCCCCAAAGCGGGAGCAGGGTCCGGCGTCGACTGAAAGCCCAAAGTCGCATGGAGGGAAGGCCTCCTCCACCTGTGATTCCTCAACCCACAGGTACTCCGCATTGGGAGAGCAGCTGTGGTTGAATCTGCTGGCCAGCAAGCACAACACCTGGCACTTGCCCCGCCCAAAACAGGAACAACTATCGAAGTCTGGGGACCGTAGTTATGGGTTGGCTTTTGGAGACTCCCTGCTGTCCAGTCACAGTCTCTTCGGATTTGGCTCCACGCGGTAGTGCATTGGTCGCCAAGACGCCCTCGAGAGTCTTCTCTTCCGGCCGATCCTTGCAGGCAGCAGCAGTGATTGCAACTCCTTCTCACACGTCTCCAAAAGCGCTGAAACTCGCAACATGCTGGCCGCCATCGCAGCGAAGCAGCCGCATAGGCATCACCTCAGATCAGATTCGGAAGACTACGCACTTCGTGAGGCTAGGGCTGCACCGGAGAGGTTGCGCAAGCCCACTTCCAAACCTGTGTGATAGGCATCTTCTGACGCATCCGAGGCTCTACAACGATTCTACCAACCTGATGACTCCGTAACTAAGGGCTGTTGACTCTGCACCTCAACGAACAAGCAGTTGTCAGGTTTCGAGGGAATAACCTGGGAGGTTCGCTTGCATCCACACCTGTGGCATAAGGATTACTGCAAACCTGCATTCTTGGGGCCGTATGATGCCGTATGCCAACGACACCTCCAAACTCAAAAAGAAAGCCCCTCTTCAGAGCGACCCGATCTGCTGCAAGGAAGCAGAGCTCGAGGATGGCCTGGCCACTCAGGGCTTCCCTAACATTTCTATACATTTCTGAAGCGATGTTTGGAAGGCCCTGCAGATCCGCAGCCAAATACCGAGTCAGTTAGTCCACACGGTGTGCAGCAAGTTGTGCAGTCCGCTTGCAGCCAGCGACATGACTAGTCGGATCCTTGCAGAACTTTGCACGAAAGAGGCATGTAGTGTCTGGAAGAGTAACTAGGATGCATGCCTAGGGGTTCTCTGCTTCTCCCACGGATTCTACATTGCAAAAAGCCCGCCCAATCGGGTTAGGAAAGTGAGCTGATGAACCCACAAGGTGTGCAGCTTTAGCACCTGCCTTCCGCAGCGCAGCTGGCGGTCGCGGAGCTTTGCTGCCAATGCACAGGGCTGGACGCTCGCGGAGGAGGAGGCCTCCTTTTCGGAGTCTTCAAAGTTGTCGAACCAGGGCTGCTCGCTTCGGGAGGATGGAGGTATTTAATACAGAGGCTGGGCTCAAACAGCTGTAAGGCTACTCGGTGCCTGCAGGGATGGCGGACAACGCGATGACACCGATGCCCTTGCCATCCACCTGCTTCATTGCTGCTTCATGATAGATGATCACAGTAGCAGGAATCGCTTGTCCCTCTTGCCATGCTGATGATCAGCGTCTGCGCCAATGCTCTACAAAAGATTTTAAGCAACACCTGCTGTATCACATGCAGTTCGTCAGGCAACTCAGTCAGAAGTAATTCTGAGGGAATGGGCTGAGAGGTGCCACTTGATCTCCTATCAGTGGTCTCCTGGTTTCGACGGGCTGGAGGGAAGCGTTGTTACGAGATAGCCTCGGCTCGTTCTTGGGAGCTTCGGACAGGCTGGGCTGGGACCCCACCTCGCGGAAGCCGATGATGGCTCGTGCCTTCGCCCCTGGCACGCTGACCTCTCGGCCGTCGTCCAAACGGACCCCGATGCGACCAGGAGTTGCAGGAGGCCTCGTTATCGATGCAATCGTGGCTAATCTGCGACCTGCTGTTGTCCCTGCTCGTCCTTCTTTGCAGCCCGGGATCGCACCCAAGCAGAGTCCGCGCTGGCCGTTCAGTTCGGCGCGAGACAGGTTCTGCAGTTCCACCACGCAGCCTTGCAGGAAAGACACGCAGAAGGAGTGTTGTTCGTCTGGGTCTTGTGACAATCTGACCACCTTGCTACACTGTCTGGCTCATGGCATCGAGCCGCCTTCCAGCTGCCGCTCGCTGTCCTCGTGGCTCGGAAGTTCGGATCTCATCGCCCAGGCGTCATTGCTCCCAGCTAAACAATAACCTACTGGTAGCCTATAAGGCTTAAGGAATGCTTGAGGACGTGGTTCAGTTGGGGGCTTGGGGCATGCCGTATCCCAGCAGCTCTAGTCCTCCAAGGGTTGAATACTCGGAATGCTCTCTGACTCTCTGTCTCTACTTCAGAATGATGCTAGCACCTGGCGACTTGAGATTGCCTGAAATGGCAAGGCCGTCAATTTCTGATTCCGGGCAATCATTGACGACAGTATGAGAATTCCGGGCAGCATCTGAAACTGACCGCAACTCGCTGGACAGACCCGCCCATGCGAAGGTTGATCATCTGCACCTGTAGTCCACACGACCACTCAGCGACCTTCCCAGTTTCCTTGCAGCCTCTGCAAGATGTGTACATGTGCAGCCGTGGGGATTGGGATCCGGCAGTCGTCGGCGATTTGAAGACCAGCTCCAGGACAGCCTGCCGTGAAGGAGCCGTCTCGGAAGGACTACGGGGAAGAAAAGAGCGGAGCAGACCGTGCCTGCCCGTGGCCAACCATATCGTCGAGGTATTTCACCGTTAAAGTCCCGACCTTCGAGATGCTTGGTTTTGTGGAAGCGCTGTCCTAGTCTTCGTAATAGTTCTTCATGTTGCAAGCTGACAAATCCGCTGTGAGGCGCCTTGACGTTTGGCTGGCCAGTGGAGATCCCACTGCTGCCATAAGTGGCCTGTTTCACGTTTTAGGACTGAGTGGCTGTGAATGCAGTCAGACTCGTTTCTCGGCCAAGCCTGCAGCTGTGAGGATGCACCCATTGCATCGGCAGTGTAGATGTCCTGTGCCAGTGTTGATCGTGACCACGACAACAATCCCTCACTAGACTTTCTAGCGGAAACAATGGCGGCGAGCTGTCCGCGGCGGGGTTGTCGAAGAGCGAGCTTATCAAACTGTGTTTCTTGAAGTAGTCCTTCGGCACGAAATGTCGATACATGCACGAAGAGGCATTCAGCATTCTGGCAGACACTTTCAATCCAAGGCTCGTCGTGTATTCGTTGGACCTTCCCTTCCAGCGATGACACGTCGCCAACATGCTCGATAAGAGCCTCGGACTGCAATGCTTGGACCTTCACTCTTCACTCTTCTGTGCTCTGCTCCCATTCGGAGACTCGGAGCTGGGCCTCTGCTTTGTGGTACTGAAGCAACACGTCGGCGCGCTTCACTTTCGTCGCGAGGCTGGCAATGACACAAGCCTGCCGCGCAGGAGTGCACCACGAGGCCCCAAGGGACCTCGAGACAGCAGAAATTCTTGCAGTCGCCTTGGGTGCGGACTGGTTGTTGATCGTGTCAATGAAGTCCTGAGCTCATCGGACCCCTGCTTGGCAGATTCGCAGGCAAGCAGCAAGTATTTGCCGGCCTCATGGCCTTACCTATTACTCGACTGGACATGTGTAGGTCTGCGAGAGTCCCGAAGACGTCTCCGGAACACCCGCTAGATACTCGCAGCGATCCTGAATCTCAAACGCTTTGGCATCCCCTGAAAGCCAGGCAATGTAAACGTGTTTCAAGGTCTGCAGCTCCGTGATGGACCGCTTGGGACTCCCGGCCCATACCAGAGAGTCGGGTGGTACCTGGGATGTTCGGCTTTCGGAAATGTGTGGTTTCTTTGACCTTCTGCGCTTGACAGGCCGAGCCCCCTGCATCCGGAAAGATCGTCAGGATGCCTGCCTTGACACAGCAACAAGACACCACAACGCACGATAGCCTTCCTGCGGACTTCGCCGTCTTGTGCACTGCTGAGAGTCGCACAAAGGCAAACAAGCTGGTGGATCGCCAGATCTTGCGACGATGCCTCATGGAGCGGCTGTGAAACAGCCAAGGTCTCACTGAGGCTATCAGAGAAAAATGAACCAAGGCTTCTACCCATCTTGGCTCAGCGAGATCATATGCCAAGGCTCCTTCTGCTGTTCTTTCGATGCGACAAAGCCTTCAAAACTCGTCAGAGCAGAGTAATGCAACCAGCTGCTGGACTGGAAACATTTCTATCTTGTTCATTTTTTGTCGCCAGGCTGCTCTGCAGAGTCTTCATAAAGCCCTTCTTCATCAGGACATCTGCTTCAACCTCTCGTGTGCATCCGTCATTGGCCATAAAAGAGAGAATGTGCCACCAGCAGTTTGTGCAGATGCCTGCATGTAGTGGTCAGCGAGGGGCACAGCCGCTGTCAGCAGCACGGCCAGCTCGTAGTTGTCAGCCTTCCTGCTGATGCCCGTACGCTCCGCTGCTCACAGGGCTTTGCCGACTAAAAGGTTTCGTTAGGCCGCGAATGTGGGCTGGCCTGTCCAGATCCTGATAGTTGTAGAAAGAATCCGGAGCACGAACAGCCAGGAACCGCCCCGCCTGGACAGTATCAGTGCAAGGGCACTCTGCAGCCATGCGAGTATGTTGCACACGCAGAAAGAATGAGTCTCGAGTCTACACCGCTTGGGCGCATGCAGATGTTTCCATGGGCTTGCAGGGCTCTTATGCTTTGAGTTTGCAGGTGCTCCAGCTGCCGAGTTCAGCTTTGGAATTCAGCGGCGCCAAAGCTCACCAGGTCTCCACGTCCTGTCCGAAGTCCATTAGATGGATCTTCTGGCGAGAGGACGAGGTCTTATGACTTCGCCCATCAGAAATGCTGGCCACTCAGAAGAAGCTCTTCAACCTTGGAGCAGGCTTTTGTGGCGGCGCGTGGAGATTTTGGCAGGCGGAGTATGGCACACGTACGCCAGGCTTTCGCGACTGCTTCACAAGTTGCTGCAGAGCAGCTGAGGGTGCTTGCGTCGGAGATTCCTGGAACGCTTCCACAGATCGACCTGCTCCAGTTCATGCTTGCGCAGGTCGAAGAGTAGTCCCTTCCATAAAAGCTGCCGCCTGGACGGCCAGAGCAGGAAGCGCCGCAGGAAGCGCCAGGGCCGGTAGGCCCCGTATGCTGGCGAGGTGCAGGCCCTGGCCCTGGCCGCCTTGGCCCTGGCCTTGGCCCTGATCCCACTGACCGCCATAGGCGCCATGGCCTTGGTCGTAGCCTTCAGGGCACTGCGGGCACCATCGGGCACCATCGGGCATCACATTGCAGACTTTCCAGAGACCACCAGCCTCCTGGCCCGTAGCCGCCATAGCCACCTTGCTGACCGTAGTAGTCGTCATGGTAGCCGTGGTCTCCCTTAAGTCTCGAAAACTTCGGGAAGTGGCTTGTCGAGGCTACTTCCACCAAGTATCTCCATACCAGTCTTCAGCCCTCGGCTGCTGAAGGGTGCAGAACTCAGGGACCAATCTGTCCCCGTGAGTAGAATCGTGAACTCAGTACATTGCAATGCCAAGCATTCAGCACAGATGAATCCGAGACAACCGAGCTGCTCATCTGCTTCGCCCTCTGCGGCTTCGTCTGGCGACTCGCCTTGATTCAAAGTCCAAACCCCACACAAAGTTGCATCAAGTCGGCATGTTCGATCTCTTCCCCTGCAGAGAATGTTCATGCCCTCAGCCCAGACCTATAAAAACACAATATTTGTTGACCCTCTCCCAACGCTAAACGGGTTGGAGGACCGTTCAAGCGCCGTTCGGCATCTTCCGCGGCCGTGCCAACGATGCTGTAGGCGGCCTGGGAACACAGGCCACGACGGCCATGATGCGATGTGCAGAACAATGGAGACCTGATGTCGAACCTTTCTTGAGGTCGCCACGTCTGAAATCGCGGTCAATCTGTCCTGCATCGATTTGGCCTGGGTTTAGCATCTCAGAATGTCGGAAGGCCCACTGCTAGTCTTGCCCAACACTGAAAGACCGAGGCAGAAGCAGAACGTATTACCTGCTAGCAGGAGCGCGCAAACATAGGCTCAGCGAGCCCTCGACATTTTCTGGTGATCTCTGAGGCCTCTTTCAGAGACTCAGCAACCGGAGTCACCATGTTGGGGACGTCCTGCAATCGGTATGGTTGGCCGCTTGAAAAACAACTCCACGACGCAAAGAAGCCATGAAGTCGCATAGAAGCAGCTGCAGACCAGACAGCCTCTGATGTCATCGCAGCAATTCGATCTTGCGAGAGGTTGCCTAAGTTGCACCGTCCACGCATGCAGTGCTTCTCGAGCCATGCCCAAAGCCGACGGCCCCCGCAAGCTTGAGGAGTCCAAACAGTGGCAAACACTGCATAACGCAGGTGCATCTTTACGACTCGATCGATTCGGCAAGTGGGCAAGATGTGATTTTGCCTGAGTCCGCCAGGACATGCCGTGGCCGGCTCGCCCCACTTGGGACCAGTGCAACGTGGCCCGCAGCCGTTTGCAAACTGCACGAAACGCGATAGAACACAACTGGTACGGAGCTTGATGGTGGCTTCGGACCCATTCAACCTAACAAAGCATGGCAACGACCAGATGCCACCAAGGAGCTGTTAACATCGTCCTTGAGTTGGCCCAGAGCCTTCCGCTGCACAAGCTGCGCCATCCGATTTTTCGTCCTAACCATGTTCGCGCCAAATAGATTGAGCCCAGGCACCCTGGAAAGCTCAGCGACGTTTCGCCCGAGTTCAGACGGGCCAGACTTCGTGATCTCAGCGTGAGTTCACGATTGTCTGCACAAGATTGGACACTGTAAATGAAGTAAATCCTCCATGCTTGAGTTCATGCCTAGTGAATTCCGGGACAGCTGCGATGTTCTCGATCGAAGGCGTGAATGAGGGGTCCTGCGGCGAGGCGACAAAGCAACGCAACCTTCTGGGGTTACGATTCCCTGCAGGCACAACACTGCTGAGCTAGGCTGCTCTGGTGCACTGCAATTGCAAAGCTCACCCTCAAAGAAGCAAGTGCCGCAGCATGTCAAGGAAAACTGCTGATTTTTTGCTCCGCAAGTTCCAGAGCACAGCCACAGCTGTGTGGAAGCTCTCCAGCCTCCCTACGCAGCCTCAGGATGCAGAGTGCGTACCTGGCAACAACAACCGTACGAGCACTATCTGTTACTATGTCTACTATGTGGTGGTCTGCACAGGGCCCGCTTGTGACCCTGAACCGGATTTGTTCATGCTAGTTTACACAGGGCTTCTCCCTGAGCTGCTTTCGAAAGCCCTTTCTTGTCCAGCTCTCTCGCCCACTCATGCGCTTGCAGCCCAGATGCGGTGGAACACCGGTTGGTTGGAGGTCAAGCCCTGTGAAGACTTCCAGCACGGCTGTGGCAAGCAAAGATTGATGAGCACAGATAGCACACCCGCACCGGCGTCCTTGAGGCGACTCTTGGCATCCGCTCCACTGTTGGCTTTTGCAAAACCAATGCGAGCCTCTACAGCGCGGCTGAGCACAGCTGCGACACGGGCGGCCGTGTGCTCGGGGAACACTCGAGTGCACAGCGAGCCTCATCGACGCTGCCACTCCCTCGATCGAAGACAGAGAAGTAGATCCGCAGAAACACCTGCAACATACTGTAACCAACCTCTTGCCAGCAATTTGAGTAAACTAGAACCAAGCAAATTGTGCAATGGGCCGCCGAAACCAAACGCTTTTCATTTGCCACCTGCCTCGCCCAAGACCATGCCAGGACCATGAGCGCGAGGCACTTCGATCAGCATGAAGGCGGGCGTGCACTCTGAGTCATCACCTGCGGCACTTGGGGGCACCTGCCTGCAGCTTGCTCTTGGGAAACAAATCACTACCTCGTTACGCCTGACAACCTGCAGGGTGCTGGCAGCTGGGCTTACCCAAGTATTCCTGTACCGTGTACGTGCACAGGTGAGGGCCCGATGAAAACCCTTCTGAGTGCTCGCAAGCCATTAGAGGCGGTTCGTTACCGTAGGAAGCAAGTCTTGCCCTTCGCCGCTCCGACCATAGGTGAGCAATGCTAACGAGAGGCAGTGTCTGCCGGTGTGCAGATGTGCTTGCGTAGGACCCAAAGTATTGTGGGCAGTCTAATCAGGAATCCTTGCTGCTGACTGATGACTTCGTCAGTGCTGGTTCGACCCTAGGCTGAGGTTAAAACCTTAGACCGGCGAGAATCTCCGGACCTTAACGTTTACTGCAATCGAAACCGCCGAGTAAGGTATCTGGATTGAAGGATTGGATTTAGAGTTTCCGCTTGACGACATATCAGAGATTCAGGACCTTGCAATTTGCCTTGCGGGCTTAATTTAGGGTTTGGGTTTGGGCATCTGTCGGGCTGAAGGGTTTGGGGGACTTAGGCCGTGAAGCTTGCGAAAGCCAAATTTACAAGATTTCCATCCCGGGTCCCTGCTCCCTTCACCACCTCGTTCCGGGCACAAGTGACCGAGTGGCTCCGTGTGTTGAAGGCCCCGAGTCAGTCTGGAAATAAGTACAGTAGCAGTAAGCCTGGATCCAGGGTGACTGGGCCTTCTTGGCTGGAGAGCATGTACTGTTTGTTGGAAATCACGAAGTCACCTAAATCGACAGAACATCCAGAATTTCCACAGACAAACCGGGAGATTGAGCACAGCACGAAGTTGACCAGCGGTGTTCTTCAAGGTATAGGTGATGTCCGGGTGGCTCTGCTTGGTCAGGCTGCGCCAGGGCACGGCAAGACAGGACCGACAGAGAGAAACGCACGAAAGTTCCCGGAACTGCAGTAGCGCTTGCATAGCTCACGCTGGCCTCCGGCAGGGACCGGCTGCGAGGCGCTTCATGATCTCCTTGAAGAGCCGGCCCTGACCAAGACCCAAGCCAAGCTGGTCAGAATATGATGGCAGCGGTGCGCCTGAGCCGTGAAGAAGGTGGTGCCGGTGTCCACGATCGCCTCTGGGAAAGCCAATTAGGTGATACGGTGATACGAGAAATTGCGTTCTCCACTCCTTGAACTTGGGATCCCCAGCACCGTGATGATGGTGCTTCTTGTGACCTAGCAGTGCATCCCAGGCCCACACTTTCAGGAAAGCCTGTTGTGAGCTTCAGCAGCCGGGAGGGGGGGGCCTGAAGGACCTTCGTGCTCCAGGTCCGGGGTCTCCGTCTCCTCCGCCTGCAGCTTCTTGCAACATATTACAGTATATTACAGTATATTATAGTATGTTGCACTGTGTGTTGCATCCGACGACTACCCTCAAAGCATGGGAAAGGCCTCGGGCAGCAGTAGATGCAGAAGCGAGTCCTCCCCTATTTTGAAGTCGACCAGCTCAATCTCGGGGCATCGGAGAAGAGCACAGGAGAGACAAGGAACGAGCACCTGGGGTCCTGGCGGCCCAATAGTACGGCTGAACCACGGGAAAATACCTGTTTGTCTCGCTTGGAAGGCTGTCCGTTTTGAGTCCAGTGAGGCCGCGGTTGTTGCAGATAGCTCCCGACTCTTTCGCGGATCCGAGCTTTATCAACTCTCTCTTATTGTCGGGTCAGAGCTTGTCGATGTCTAGGGGCTGCTCTCCGTGCTTTCGAGCATCAAACTTTTCCCGATACACGGACTCTTGTGAGAGGGTTGTTCTCACCACCGCACTTCCTGTTGGGGCTGACGGCGGGGGGACTTCCAATCGATTCGGCAAGGTTTGTATATGCAGCGATGCGGTGTGACTGCTCCCGGAATACGATTGAAGATCGACATGCACAACTGCACATCTGACATATCATACCAAGATGGCTCGCGGTTGGATACTGGACGGATGTAAGGCAGAGTTTGACATGTGAACAAATCAAAGTGTGACAAGTACGGTGGAGACACCGACACGGAAACCCAGGAAAATACAAAGCACGATACGGATTGCGGCCATCTGAAGAGTTTGTGCATCGAGAGAGGCGGCACTCGATCTCGCCATGGTAGAAGGATTTGTCCACCTTGGCAGTCCAAGCTCGACAAACACAGGACGCATGGACGCATGAGGAAGTCCGAGGTTGCGGCTCCGCCCCAGAAAACCGCGTTGCCCGCTGGATCATCAGGGCCTCAAGTGGAGCGCGAGCTGCTCACGTGCTCAGATTGACCCTGGGACCTGGAATTCCGACTGAGGAGCCGGCTGAAGTAAAACGCAAACTCGTTGCGACCTATTGCCTGGGACGGTTTCGGGCTGAGGGCGGACAAGATGTCCACATCTGACAATACATGGACTCTTACCAGTCTTACCTGCTTCAGGCCCTGAGACAGGCGTTGCCAACCGGTCGAGTGAGCGATACGGCTGGCCGACGATCTTTCCCCGCCTTGTTCTCGATGATGCCGTCCACGAAAGGCCGGATGCCTGACTACTCTGCTTTCGATCCTCCCCAACACAGCCCCTTCGCATCCCTTCGCACCGTGTGCGGCCATGGCTGGGAAGGCCAATCCGAGGATGCCCTCCACGGGCACCTAAAAGAGCATCTGCGCGCATTGCGAGTGGCCAGTGGCGCTCCTCCGCTGTCCCAAGCTCTTTCCCTCCTCGCCGTGCCTCTTCGAAGACCCGGCCCTCCTCGGACTCGATCATCCCTGACCGCAGAATTTGCAGGAGGAAGCCGCCCGCAAACCGAAAAGGAATGTAGGGGTCCCCGCCGAAGGTCTGGTTGAAAACCGAGAAAGGTCCGATGTGGAAGTCATCGACGGCCTGGACACGGACCGAAAGGACCAACAGAAACATGGGCCGCCGCGTCAAAGCCCCGGCCCTGGCCTCTGGGCCGGTGATCCGCCCTGTTCCGAACTCGATCTGCAGGGTCCCACCTGTCCGCACTTCGCATCTCTTCGCATCTCCCGACACGAGGCACCAGCTGTCGCCAGCCTGGTCCCGGAGCATACGTTCTGGACAGCCTGAGAAGTGCCATGTAGTCACTCCAAGCACTTTGGCCCACGGCGCAAGAGAAACCAGAGAGTTTCAGAGGCCCAAGCGACCGATCATAGCGGCTCCGATCGGCGTTGGCACAGGGCCCTTTGGTGCCTCAGCAGCAGGCAGATTGTGCCGACGTTGCTTGCAACTCAAGGCGCTTGCCGACTGGGCCCGAGGCACAGGACTGACGACACCCAAATATTGGTACTGCCTTCCAGGACCAGATGGAAGCTACCCACTCAAGGCCGTCGCAGCACATGTCTGGAAAACTTCACTAGGTCCTTCGCTCTTCAAGCCCACCATGACTGACCGTTCCCTACTTTTACAGCCTTCCGCCCTTCTGCGGCTTGGCGCCTGTGTCGAAGACGACCCAGACCAGAGACTGGTCGCGGACCTGGGCGGCCGGTTTCTGCGCGGCGGTCTCAGGTCGAAGATCGGGAACCGAGAAGCTCACGTGGCACGTGTTCTTCTGTTCCTCTCAACAGCATTCGACAACCAGGTGATACAAAAGCAGCTGCTGTCGACACTCCTCTGTCGCGCTGTCATAATCGGCAGGCCCGAGATAAATCAGAGACCTTCATGCACGCAAAGACACATGCAAAGATCGCTTCTCTGCCACTTCGGTAAGCCTCACTAAGCGAGCCGGGAAGGCTCACTGGAAGGCGTGCATCCTTTTGGTGCGAGCACGGAGCCTCAGTTTCAACCATGCGAGAGGAGCAAAGATGCCAGGGTACCCTACGTTACCCAATTGACTCAAGCAGCTACCTTTTCCAACAGAGACTCATGCTTTTCGCTTGGAGATCCGCAGAATCACACCAGAGGCTCGTGCCAACGCCTATTTGGCCGATGTACCTGCCATCTCGAGTCGGTAGAAATTCTGCAGAGGCAGAGGACGATATCAGCGACAGTTGCCCGCGACTGCGGCCTATTGGAAAACATCACGCCGACTCGAAAATTCTGTGCGGCGGACTGGCTCTCCAGACTCGTTAACCGCGTCTCTGCAGGATGGTTCTCGTTGGGGATCTCCAGACCGTGGTACCTCGACGGAAACAGCGTGTATCGCTGGCACTGCAAAGATGAATCATACTCCCCGTGGGGCGGCCTCAGCACCTTGCCCTCGTTCCTTGCAACGTCAGAACATGCAGCAGCTCAAATGAGCTCTTCTTGTTCTCTCTGGTCTGTCCTAAAGAAGCCGTCCACCGTGGAAGAGTTTGCTCGTGCGCCTTCGAGCTCCTTCGGCTGACGGGACCAGATACGACCCTCGGTCAAATCAATTCAAGCACTACGAAAGCGCCTGAAAATGCTACGAGAAGAGTGGTGATCCCGTCAACGAGCTCAAACTTTGCATGTCGCAGCGGCACGAGCCTGAAGTAATGATGCGGTCTGGTGGGCTTTCAGCGCAGCTTCCTGAGCACAAACACACGTTCAGTGCTGCCTCCTCGGGTCGACCGAGTGTAATCACGTCCCCGGAGCACGCTCCAGAAAACAACATCTCGAGGTGATGAAGTTTAAAGCTGAGAGGGCTCGCCCCGGGGCTTGCAAGGACTTCCTAGACGTCACCAACTCAGACAAGACTTCTGAGCCCTGAGCCTGGGTCTGCGAGACACGAAGGAAGCCCTGCCGGGAAGTCGAAAGAGAGACCATTGCACAAAAACCGGTCTTCCAAGATGTGCAATCGTGGCCTGGCCTTCGGCTTTTGTGACGCACTCCTTTTGGATCTAGCTCGCGAGAGCAGCGGGGAGACAACCTGCCCCAATCAACGTCCAGTCCCGGATCCCAACAGGTGCGAAAGAAGGGCCTCTTCACGAGATCCTTTCCATCGAGCTTCAGCCTGCACCGCCAAAAGCAGCACCGGCTTCAAGCCACTTTACAAACCTCAGATTAGCAGCTGGCACCATGCCAGACCAGCAGACTCCTGTGCCTCCAAGAACGAGGCCATGCCCTCATGCTCGTAGCGATGGAGTCTGGCAAGGGCACGGCAAACACTTCGCGCACAAGCGGAAAGCTCCCACAGCCCTCTGAGCACGTAGCCGCGTTACGTGCACCGCTTCATGGCCAGGATGGAAGATGTCCGTGGCCTCGGCGGTCGACCAACTGGGTAGGTCGCATCCCGTCCGTACGGAGGGAGGAAGACATTCACGCTTCGAGCTCGGCCCCGACTGGAAGCGGGGCCTACATGCTGTGTTCCACTCCGCACTTGGGATCTAATCCATGCATTGACATATCCATACCCCATCCCATGCCATCATAATTGCAGTAGGCTGACCCTCAGTATCAAAACTGTCACCGAGAAGTTTGGGCGGTGATCAGCACCCTGGAGCCACCCCAGAAGCTCATGAAAAAAGGCCGCATTCATGGAGAGTTCACCCTAGCATTGCAGTCTTTCCAGTCGGAAGACACACAGCACTGCGACCTACGCTCGATTTAGAGCGCTCCGAGGCAGAGCTAGAACAGACCCTGCAGTGCGTGGCTGACACTTCTGGGGCTCCCGACGTCTTGGCGTCCCGCTTGCACCGCAAGGAGAAGCACAGCGACGGCCACTGCCACAGCCTGCATTGGACTTCAATGTCACAACAGGCAGCGGCTCAAGAATTGCAGAGGCCTGCCCTCTCATCAGCGCCACAGATCTGGTCAGGGGTGCTCACACACGGACGGAACCAATATTATGGAATGTCGCCCCGCCTCTGAATGTTGCAGTCATACGAAAGCACGGAATGGAAAAACACCGCCCTCTTTGAGCTAAACTGCAGCACCCGTGCATCGGTTACTTAGCACCAGCATATCTAATATGTCTCCATCCACGTGGCGCATCTACTAGCAGTCGATTCGAGGCATGCAGGACATGGCAGAAGGCTATGCATGTACATAACACTGACGCTCTGCTGATTAATGCGTGCATCGGGTCCATTGGCGGCATGTCTTCTTTGAGCGCATCATTGAGAGCGTCCAAACTGAGATGTCAGGTTGTCGGAAATCTCTCACAGCTTTGCAGTTGCCTCAGGCACCGGCTCTTTGATGTCCTGCTGCGGCTCACCCATGTCAGGGTTACCGCCCATCAGTAACTCGTCCTGGAGAGGAGCTGCCACTCGCTTTCTCCATGGAAGCCCCGTCGAAACGTCGAAACTCCTCGGACTCCCTGGGGTTGTCTTCGTCGACCTCGTGCCTTGACAAACTCAAACTCAGCTTCGCAGCCCGCAGCAGCAGACAGAGGAAGGGATCGCTCCCGGTTTCGGACCGAGGCCCCCGCCAGTTGCCGGCCTCATCCTGCCGCCACGTTTGGCTTTCCCCGCCTGCCGGAAACGTGCTTCAAAGGCCAACGTTTGCAGGGTTTGGGCGATTTCAGCTTAGGGCCTTTGTGCCATTGGTGGTGCTCGTCACGCCACCAGTGCTCTGCCTCACCTGTACTCGCCACACATCTGGTTGAGTCGAGATTCAAGCGGATGGCCTCCAAAGTGCCATTTGCCTGACTCGTCCTGCCACCAGTCGCCTGGAAGTCCCGAAAATGCAGCGAAGGGGCCTCTTCTTTGCTAGAATTATCGCCCTTTCGGCCTGAATCCCCTCCGCCAGCGCCGCCACCGGCAGGGCCGGCAGGGCCACCCTGAGGAACGAAGGGATTTCCAAGGCCTTGGTCAACCAAGGCCTTACCGGACCCCCTTAAGAATCGCACAACCTCAACATGTCGAGCTCATCTGGGTATGCAGCCTTGGAAAGATGTCAGCCGCCGGTTCTGCTTGCTGCCTGTCAGCAGATCCTTCTACGGATTGCTATCGAGCCATGCTGTGCCTGGTGCGTTGCCGCCACTCCCTGTTCTCCATGCTGCCCACAATCCCAAGACATGTGTAAAGCACTTGGCTGTCACCGGCTGCCTGTTCCAAAAGAGGTCAGCAGATCAGCGAGCTTCATGGCCGGAGGCACTGAGCTGGGATCTCTCGTAACCAGTAGCTTTTGCTTCAACTGACCTTCCGAATCCAACCACTACCGCGGCACTGTTGGCTCGATAGCTCTCCGCTAGCCCATGAGTGAGTTGTCATTGCGGACAGTTACGGATCAACGATCTCTAAGCCCCTTTGGGCTCTCCTTGAGAAGCTGCCGCGGGGCATCGCTCTCAAAAATCCAGCATGCAAGGGTCAGAGACTACGCCCAGCCGAGAACCCCTCTGCCCAAGTGCTCGGCCTCGACATCGGCCCTGAGCTCCTGCTCCAGAAGCCCGGCCAACCTGCGCTTCACTTGAGCCGCTGAGCCGCCCCTCCCGACGAGAGCTCGCGGTGCGGCGGTGCGGCAGCTCCTTTTCTGCGGCGGGCCCTCCGACACCCGAAGCTGTAGCCAGCACAGTCGTGCGGTCTCGCCCCCCTTCATGCTCCGCATCATCTCCTTCATGAGCTCCATGACGTTGTAGTTGCCTGTGCGGCAAAAAACCCTGAATAAACATAGCGAGACTCTTGAAGTTCCCTCTGCCGGATGGCCGAATGCCGCTGTGCAGACGGAGCTGGGTTCGGACTCTCAAGATTGCATCTTGTCAGCACCATTCTGACCTTCTGTTTGTTTGGAATGGAAGGCCCGCTGCAAGCCAGACTTGCCTTCGGCTTTTGAAACCTTTGTGAGTCGTCAGCCCTCTTGGTAGAATTCGGACAGAGTGGTGCACCCTCTGTTTGGCTTGATCTGTCTCTTCCGACACAAGACCTGCTTGTGATCCATGTTGCAAGAGGGCGATCTGATTTGCCAGCATCGGAAGTACTTTATATAAAGCTTAACAGCATGCTGCGCCCTCGATAGCCTGTGGAGGCCCGTGTGTATCTTATGATAGTATAGTTTCAGGTGCTGCACATCATCATCGCGCAGCATCATGACGAAATTTTCGATAAGAACACGAAAAGTCATTATCTGCTTTACTTGGCCAATATCAGAGACCGACGCTGCTCGGCTCAAACAAGGACGTGCCCACACATGCTGGTAGGTAGCTAGGTAGGCAGGCAGCAGGCAGGCATGCCTGGATGCATGCTTTTTGATGGATATTCATGTATAGGACTGTGGCCACTGACGAAAAGCACTTTAGACATGTCACACTGCAACGGTAGAGTTCGAATCGATGGCTGGATGGACTTGTGTGGGTATGCGCGTGGATCACGCACGTCTGCGGGTGAATGTGTGTATGCACAATACAAGCATGTTACAATCTGCTGTACACGTCCACCTGCCTACATGCAGAAACTGCTAACTCGTCGCCGGCTGGCTGCCTGGCTTTCTGACTGGCTGGGCCAAATACATAAGCATGTCTTAAGTCATAAGAAGATACACCATGCAGAAAGACAAGCAGACCTAGGTGCGGAAGGATGGCGCGGGACGGGCGGGCGGCAGGCACAGGCTGGGGCAAAGGTGAGCGAGCCGGCCACGCAGGGAGAGACAGATGAGAAAGAGAAAGACAAAGAGAGAGAGAGAGAGAGAGAGAGGATGTAGAGTTGGACCTGGTGAACGAAAAACGATGCGTGCAACGAACCTGCATTGTCCGCTCTTGTGTCTACAGGCATTCATCTTTTCGCAATGCATCATTCCTTGGAACTGATGCAAGACGACCACAACTTAAATCATCACATCATGTGTCGCACGTTTGCCATGCCAGGTTGGCACAGGACCAAAGCATCATCTCCTTTGCAAACCCACTGCTGACTAACATGGAGCAACCATCACGATATTTTTCCCAATGCAAGAGTTCCAAGCAACCTCCAGAATCCAGAAGAGAGATCATTGCGAACATGCCGTGGCTGCTAGTGTTGTGCGCAAGAAGCCTGCTTCTCGTCAGACACCCACAGTTTCCCGCAGCATCTGGTAGAGCATCTCCACATCCACCTGATGCAGTCAGTATTTGATGTCGAGGCTGTGAAGTCACTGGATCACCCCTGACATACTGTTGAACTTCCCACGAGCAAACCAAATAGAACTGTCTAGATGCACCGTGTCATTTTGGAGTGATCAGGTCTCTTGACTGGTCTGGCCCATTCTTGTCTGGGTCCAGATGCAGCTGACTGCAGGATTGGACCTGTGCAGAATATGTGCGGATCTGCTGCTGTCATCCTTGCACCGCACAGAAGTAGTGCTCCTTGCCCAGAACGCCGTAGGAGGGCTGGAGTAGGTAGGAAAGCACGAACGCAAAAGCAGATAAAGCAGAAAGCCGCAGAGCTTGAAAATCCAGTCCAGCACCTGTCAGCGCCTTTGGCTGTGGACAGTTGGGGCGAAGAGTTGCATGTGCTGCAGAGGCTCGTCTGCATGGGTCAGAACATGACAGAACATCAGTTGGGCAGGTGGAGGTGAATAGCATCGCCTCAAATGTCTGAGGCTGGGTGAAACAGAACACATTAACAATGCCTCTTGCCGGGACTTTGCCGGAGCGCCGATAAGCGGGATGCAGAACTTGCCTGAAAGGGCTTTCCGGCGCATCAAAGAAGCCTACATGGTGAAACACGTAGAAGACACTTTTCCGAAATGGAAACATCTCTGGTGTCTGACGAGCTCACAGCTCACTCGGAGAGCTCCAAGTCACTCATGCTTAGAACCTGGTACATCCGCCATCATGACGCCATGCTCCAAACTATGCTCGACCGGATTCATTGCTGGATGATTATGATCCTTCTGTCAGCTTGGAAGTCTAGGTGCCTCGTCGTGCTTCGCCGCACCTGCTGCGCGCAGGCGCCCCACCGTTGCGATGGCCACTAGGGTCACAAAAAGACCGCCAGCAGCGAGGACGGATGCTATGCCTGCAGGACAGATGAACCAGGAGACCAGGAGACGGAGGGGTTGCAGACTATACTCGAAGAGGAAAAGATGTCTGATACCTGTTGCCTTGGTGGTTCAGGTCAAGCTCGTTTAGGGCGTTGAGCTGGTACTTGGTCATGAAGCGGCAGGCGACGTCGTGCTGCTTGCAACACCACCTCGGTTGTTGGGCTGTTGGGCTCTCCGACTCCTCGATTGACTGATTGACGTTCGTGCGTCAGCAGTCAGCCGAGGCAGCAGCTCAGCCCTCTCTGGACTCCACTCCGCTTGCTGCTCGGCCGAGCCATGGCAGGCAAAGGGGCAGCCATAGCCCTTGTACTTACCTCAGCGAGCCATCATGGGCCATCGGCCCCTTGGGAATTCTTGCGTGGCTTCTTGCCGTGCCCCGAGTGCTGGACAGCACCAGCTTGCTTTCGCTTTTGACCAGCCGTCCTCTGCATCCCACAGCTCGCGGAACAGAGGCTGGGAAGACTTTCTCTTGCAACAGTCGCACGTCCTGCCAATGACTGAGGCCTGCCCTGGCATGCGCAGGGCGTTCATTGCAAGACACTTCCCCTAAGCACGGGTGGTTGAGACAAGGCAAGGATGCCCGGCTGGAAAACTTCTCTAGGTCAACTCAGCAATAATCAGCATGCCAACAAGCAGGCAACACGCGCAGTTGTACTTTGGGTGTTGCGACCTCCTTCTCACATCCTGATGCCACATGCTCCAGGCAAGCACAGGCCATGGCGTTGCTACATCAGGCCTGGTCGTGCAGCTCATGCTGCGCCGATGGCGTGAGCAGCTGTGCAATCCAGGGTTGGATCGGCTTTGGACAACCCACCTTCACGGAGTCGCAGCCTGAGCAGCTGAGCAGTGCATGGCACTGCATGGTGCAGAGAGGTCGCTGTCCAAGCATGCGACAGTACTCCCGCTTTCCATGTGGCCACTCCTGTCACTCTCAGCAGCATCACGAAGTGGGAAGGTAGAGGTCATCCAGTCATCCACTCCGATGGCCTTCCAGTGCGCCACACCGTCCGTGCAGTCGTAGCGCGGAGGCAGGGAGCCGCAGCCGACGTTCTCGTGCTCGCAGCACCACTGCGCCTTGGCGCGCGGCCAAGCCTCGGACTTCCCAAAAGCGCTTCCGCCCCGCACCGCGACATCGCGACGTGGCACCGTGCAGCCGGGTTGCGCCACCGGCACCGGGGCGACAGTCATAGCCTCCAAGACAACACCCTAGTGGTCTGAGACGCTTCCATATGCTGGTGGCCATGAGAACTGCCGACAAGCAGCTTGCAGCATCGGAACATCCCAAACTCTCGTGCTTGCAACACCAAGCTCGTTTCGGGAGCGACCAGCTGTGGGGAAAGCCACCTGCAGTTGCGGCCCGGACATCTTAGAGCCTGAAAGAAGACCGCAAAACGGCTTAGGGGACGGGTCGGGCAGTCACACGGTACTGTGGCGAGTCTCATTATGGTTCATTGCAAGACTTCACCTTCAGTGCTCCCGGAAGATGCTTGTGGCGACAACAGCGCCTGCCAAGCAGTTGAACTTGTAGCCAGGCAGCACCTGGCCACGACAAGAAGAGAAACAAGCACAGCCCGTGTCAGAAAGCCAGCACAAGACACCACACTGAACGAGAAGGGACGTTAGTGGACTCTGTCGTGCTTGAAATGCCATAGAACCTGCGAGTGCCAAGCATGGCCAGACGGAGCGTCAGCACAGCCTCGGCGTGCTGCCATCAAACATACAACTACACCCGTGTTCAAAATATGCATTCGTTGGCCATGTGCTTATGTTGTAAGTGGCTGTGTAATGTAGGACAATGTAGGTACAATGGTATTCATATCAAAAGGGGCATTTGTACTTATGCGGTATCTTCTACTATTTAGGGACATGCATCCTTGTCATACCGTCCTTACATGGCGCAGTCCTGCGGCTGAGTCTTTGCCTCATGACGGCTATTGTTCCCGTGCTTGTGCCCTGCACCTTTCGAAGTGCAGCTATTCCCAGACGTGTGGCCAACTCCGTAGTCGTGGCAGCAATACTGCTGCTTCTGCACGGACCACGCTGCCATTGCGGGGTCGTCTGCATTGCAATGAAAGTGGAAATGATGTGTTGCGAGACCTTAGGGTCAGTTCACACCAGCCCCGGATAACGCCAACTGCAGTGACCCTCGAGAGCGGCTTGCTGCCCAGTCGCTAGCTATCTGGGAGTCGTGAGCTATCTGAGGGCGAGAATGAACCACACGAGCCACATGCGCGATGTGGGCCCCGGTCCATCCAGGACAGCCTCGGTCGGCAGGATGCTCGCTTAGCCCGGACGCAAGCTGCTCGGGTCATCGGGTGCGACCAGAACGCCGACGCCATAGTCTCGGCAGCACATCTGCTTCTGCTTGGTAGACCAGATCTCCCAGTCGTCGTGGGAGTTGCAGTCGTAGTCGAAGCCGTTGTGCGAAGCACCTCCGCGCAGAGAAATGATTGCAGATCCTGTTCCTGAAGATGCGACAGTAGGATGCCAGGATTAGTACGCAAATATATCTGCCAAGGCTCTGTGGTGCACGCCACAACCAGTGTTCGCATATTTGCAGCACCAGTCGCGCTGGATGGCCGACCACGTGTCCGTCTCACCTCGCAGGGCTTGGCCGGCTCGCCAAGCCGAGTTGAACGATGTGCAAGACCCGTCCTCTGGTGCAATGGAAACTGACCGTAGGAGGCGCTGGCGGCGGCGCGAGAAGAGCCTCCGTTTCAATATGACAAAGGGTGTTGCCAGCTTGCAGCGGCATCTCGCAATGACCAAATCGGAATAAACTTTTGGCTCAGGCACCGGATGAGTGTAGTGGATGACTTGTTGTGGAATGTGGTGGTAGTGGGAAATGTGGGAGATCTCGTGAATGTGCTGGCCGTGAAAAGCGTGCGAAACATAGTGGCCCGTGACACAACCTCGGATGGTTCTCACGCATGCTCCCGGCTCTCCGCTTGGCTGCTGCCACTCCGCTGCAATCAGCTGCTGCGAAGTGGCCGAGGCCACGTGCAATGCAACAGTACTCTCGCTCGGAAGGAGACCAGGACTCCTGCACATTGGACTCAGGCGCCCCGGAGCATACGAGCATCTTCTACAGCTCAACACCTGCACCTTCGACATGGCACGAGCTTCTTGCGAAGCTTCTCTGTTCCAATATGTCGCTTCAACGAACAATCCCTCAAAAAGAACATCTGCTTTCCCATGCTGTGATATGCAACTCCCGACCACTACGACCCTACTTTTTCAAAAATGCGCACCGGCTCATCACATCGATCCTCCGTGCTCTGGTCACAGTCAGGTGGCGCGTAGGACTCGCTACAGCCCAATCCCAGGTGCCTGGCACAAGCGCCGCCAACTCGTGGCTTACAGAATGAGCGAAGACCTATCATATCATCATCTCACGGATATCAAAAGCACATGCAGCCCATGCAGCTCCGGCTCCTGCAGCACCAGTGCCGCTTCTCGCCTGGCCACAATGATGTCCTCAAACTTCCCCCAGCTCTCCCGTCCTAACCCAAAAGCCGCACACTTGCGAAGGCACTTCCAGAGTCATATGTTCCGTGTCGTCCTGATCAAGCCTACGGGTTCTACATCAGCATATCACCACCTTATGTACATGCAGGAGTGAACCTAGCAAACACCAACCTCAAGAGACCTCAACAAGCCAAAAGACCTGAGGCGGCGTAAGCCAACAAACGAACCGGCAGCAATACATACAGGTAAAGGGTATCAGGCCGGTAAGAACCAAATACATGCAGACGCCGCTGTACGTAAAGGCACACTTGCGGGTTTTTTGCTCGTCCTGCCCGCAGCGCAGTCGAAGCGACCACCCACGCAGCCAACGTGAAAATGCTGGCAGCAGAAGGTCTTCTGAAGACCCGTCCAGCTGACCTGATTGACTCATGCCAGAAAGCTGCAGAGTCGAGAGAACTCTGCTCGCCTGCCAGGTCTTCAAGTCCTGCCGGCAGTCGAAAGCACATCCTATGTGCTTCCGACTGCAGCACCAATCCTGACACGCAGCCACAGCTTCAGGCAGCAACGACTCATGGAAAAGGGCCCCGTAAGGGCCTTCTTCCTGTGTGACCATCCCTCCTCCCAATTTTTGAGACCAGCCTCGCAGCTGCTTCATTCAAGGGTCTTAGGGCTTCCATGAGTCTCCTACCTTGCAGTCGAAAAGATCTGGCACTGCTGTGGTGGTCGTCGTGCTGGCCAAGAGCTTGCAACCGATCTTCTTTGCCAAGCAACACCACCTCGAAGCAAAACTCCTACAGGTAACAACAAAACGTTTGCTAAGGCGGCTACAGGGCAGCTCAACTTTATAGTCTAAATGCTGCCGTGGATGCTTGATCTTTTCCAGCGGCCAGTGCCTGCAACCGCAGCCCGAAACTCTGAAAGATACCCCCCACTTGAGAAAGCGGACGGCCTTCCCGTGCAATGATGCGGATGCTCCCTTCCAGAAAGCTGCAAACTCAATGCTCCAGGCGATGTCGTCGACATTTCCAAGGCGCCGGCACATCGGGCAGTGGGGCGGGCGTGGAGTGCGAACAACCTGTCAAAACTCTTCGCGGACAGTTCTCGCATGTGCACGCTCTGCTGAAAGAGTACTTTCTTGAAGCCATGAGCGGCCTATCGACTGAATTCTGCAGCAGTAGTGCCGCCTCACCTCCGAGACAGACACTGCCGGGGTTTGGGACTCGGGCAACTGTCTTCCATTTGAAAACCAGCAAACAACATGTTGATCACGCATGATGATGAAGACACGCTCGGCATCAGGCTTTCTCTGACAGCTAACAGGCGAATCCGTAGCAGATTTCGCAGAAAAGCTGCTATCTGCAAGCAAATGCTGTCCTGCATATGAGACAATGCGACGTGAGTGCATGCAGACACTCATGGAATACACGTAGAAACCGTAAATTCTTAATTACGTGAGATGTGAATGCATACAATCACGCCAGAGAATGAGTTGCCGACTCTGCAGCAGATATCGCGACAGAGCTCTGATAAAAAAACACCGTTACATAGTGCTCAATGTTTTGCAGCTGGTTTCTAATGGACGGCCCGGCTAACCTTTGCAGCAGCCCTCGATTTTCTGGTGATCCACGACCGTTGCGCTGGGGTGCCTTCAAGTGCCGATAGATCCACAGCCGACGGGGGTGCTTTGAACACGTCCTCCCATCCCTCTTCTGGGTACTTCTCTGTCGACTTCTTTCTGAACAAACCTTGCAGCTGCGGACTGAGGCACGCCCATCGCACGATGTACATCGGATACATCTTCATGCTGATGGGAAGGTGCGGGCTGTCTTTTGTTGAGATTGGGAGGAGGCGTCTTATGAGCCGTGGTTGGCCAAACGCCGACCAAAGGCTCCAGCGCAGTCACGGCGGACTGAAATTCAGCCCAGGTCGCGAAGGTTCGCACTGCCACCTGCGGGATCTCGGACTTGGTCTTGGCATAGGGAGTCTCACCGAGGGCAGCAGCAACACTGCTCAGCACAGAATTCACTGTCCTGAAACTCTCCGGAGCGGCTTGGGCCGTCTGCTGCCAAGGCAACCAGAACCTCCTCCGGTGTGCCATCAAATCCGCAATCGGCATCTTTACTAAGGACTGCATGAAGCTGCAGAGGTCCCCTGTCCACACAGACAGATCGCACCACTCAGAGTAGTAGTGTGTGCCAGGCCGTCCACAACAAGCCAGCTGACAAGCATTGAGCACTATGTAACGGTGCCTTTCTCTTGATCAGAGCTCTTTCGCGATATCTGCTACAGAGTCGGCAACTCATTCTCTGGCGTGATTGTATTACTGTTTCTACGTAGATTCCATGAGTGTCTACATGGATTTATTGTTTCTACGTACATTCGTCTGCGGACGCGGAACTGGAGCTTCTGACTGTAGTCCCTGCACAGCTGCCGAAGGACCCTGAATTCCAAGCGCTTCAGGCACCTCCACTTGTAGGCCTTGACCACCAGTCACCACGGTTGGCACTTGCACCGGTTCTTGTCGCGCTAGGCCCGTAGCTGCCGAAAAGCTTCTATCAAAGCTTCGGCTTTGGCCTCGGCCCTGGCTTGTGCAACCTGAGCTTCCGCTCTGGCTTCAGTTCTAGCTTGTGCGATCTCGGCCTGATGGCGTTTTTCGCGCTCCTCATCAGCCCTTCGCCGCTCCTCCTGAGCCCGTCGCCGCTCTTCTTTGGCGTTCTGTCTTTCCTCTCTAGAACGATCCATCAAGTACTGAACGATAGCTCTTGCATCGCTGTTGCACTCTGCTTTGAGTGCAAGCGACTCTTGGCTCTGCTGCGAACCCTCCGCTGTTCTCTGCCGCTTGACCGTCTGAAGGCCAGGGACCTCAGTTGCTTGTCCCTGACTGCTCCTGTCTTTGCCTCCAAGCACCTCCACTGCTACTTCTCTCCACGACGACGGCCTGGTGCCTCCAGCTCGTTCTCTGCAGCCTCCTGGGTTTCAACTACGGCCACTGGTGGCGGTCTCTTGGCAGGTGAAAACTTTGCTGCCGTACGTCTCGCAAACGGCGACGACGAACACGAGCTTTCATGCAAATTTATCTGCTGCGTGGACAGCAACAGTCCTTGGCGGCGCAGCTGCTCTTCGTGGATTGTCTCTGGGCTCACTCCGGCTTGTGACTCCTTGTGAGACGTCTGGGAGCTCATCAGAGGACGGACGATGAGCTAGTGCAGTGTCGTGTCTCTCTGGGAGCACCCCATCTGGTATGAGCGCCCTCTGAGGAAAAAAAGGGCAGCAAAATGCAGCAAAGTGTGAGAAAGCATTAGAATCGGAATTGCATGTACTCAGAGACTGAACTACAGCTTTGAAAACCAGAAACCCACACGGGAAGCCAAGCCCCGCACCGACGTCCAGTGCGCTGGGGTCTCGCCTGCCTAGGCACAAACGGAGGAATCGAAGATCCGACTAGATCAGCTGCAGGTGGCACCTGTAGCTGGCACGCCGATTCATCGGGTTTGATGCAGCCCAGCTTGGCGTGCTCGCAGCACCAGGCCCTTGCCACGTAGCTCTTTGAGCTGAAATCAGCAGCGTAGTTTGTCGTGTGAGCGAAAGGTCTTTTCATTTCGAGCCTCTTCTCCAGAGGCCAACCCTCTTGCCAGTCGTGCAACCTCAGGCGGCAGAATTCGGAAGTTCTCCCCATCGCATTGGTGAGAGTAGGCCCGAGACTCCTCAAAGCAATCGTACTTGCAGCCCTTATGCTCGTTGGAGCCTGGCACGACAATCCACTTCGTGTCCGGGGAAAGATGTCGTAGAACTCATGTCTTGTCTCCTTGTCTCGCGTCTGACTGTCTTATCTATCTTCGCTCTGGGCCCCTGGCAGCACCAGTGCTGTTTGGCCTTGCTCCAGGTGTCGCGGGCCGTCTTCAGCCCAGACTCGCAATCCTTGGGACCGATGGAAGCCACTGGAGGCAACCAAGTGCGGAGACGGCGGCAGTGCACTCAGATCCATGCGTAGGGTGCAGGAAGGGCTCGGTGTGAATTGCAGGCCACCTGAAAGTGTTGGCAGCACCAACCTCGGCAACCACTTATCCGTACGACCCACGCTGGAAGGAAGCCTCAAGGCTCTGGCTCTTCCGCTGCGGGGACCAGCTGTCGTCAGAGTGGAACTGATCTTCCTGCAGAGGTTCCGTTGGGCTTTCCGTTTGCACCCCCCAACCGCCCGCCTGGCAGTGGAACTGCAGATTGTGGTTGCAGGCCGTGTCTTGGACCATGCAATGCCGGCCTTGCAGGTTGAGCATAGCTGAGCTGAGCTCTCAGGCAGAAAACACACCAGCTGGGACGGAGGCATTTTTCGTGGCATGCCTGCAGAGACGGAGGCACATTTGCACCACTCGTGCGATCGGATGCATATACAGGTAGTCACACTCGCTGTGCAAGTACCTGCCTCCAGCATGGACGCGTGTGCAAGGGAGCACTGCAACTCACGATTGCCTGTGCCATAGCCGTCCGCCTGGCAGGTGAACACTCAAACAGCAGCCTCAGGCTGTACAGCACGAAAGCTGCTACCAGTATGGTTCTGACGGCACGAGACGCTTCAACACAGGACAGACCTTCTTGATCAGCCAGCTCTCGCAGGTCTGCATGCCACATGCCTGCTGGCATTGCAACGC